CACCAGCCGATTATTGATGTAGAATGCTCTCCTAGAATTATTACCATATAATAACCTTGTTTTCAATAGTAAACAAATAATGAAAGTAGATAGAGGCGGCTGCATGAATAAATAACATACTTTGTTTGTTCTGAAAGAAAAAAATGTACATATCTAGAATCCCAGAAGGTGAGAACCAGAAGTATCTATATTTTTTCAAGAGAACAGACACTGTTTATGTTTCCATATATATTAGACTTTTCATCAATGACATGCAAAGTGAGCATATAAATGAAAACTGAAACCTAAATGATGTTAATTAATCGTGTCTTGAAACTTTCTTACTCTTTTTAAATCTGAAACTACAATTTGTTGCTTTCGGCTATTTGTCTGTTAAGTTCTTTCTTTGTCTTGGAAAATCAAAAAAGTAAAAAAACCCAGATGGCTGCTAATTTGATTATTTCAACTTTTTTCCTTGCCCTCTTTCTAATTCTTTGTCAATTGGATATCTTGATTTGGACTTTTATTCAATTATGATACCATTTGACATATCTGCATCCATGCATTTCCCAGTAAGTTTTCAGTTTGTCCAGTACAGGTTGCATTTCATTGCCAAGCTTTATATGCACTGCTCAGCAATATAATAGCAAATATTTAACTTTTTTCTACTTTCATTTGACATGGTTCAGAATATATGAAAAGTAAAACAAGGAGTGATTCAGAAGTGGAATATGCTTTATTTATGCAGTTGAACACAAAACTTTCCCCTTTTCACAAGATTTGAGGAGCTAGAAACCACACAAAACAAAATTCACATTTCCGGAAGGGCATCACCAATTTTTGATTTTGAAGTATCATAGTTTATGTCAATACTGTGTTTGAAAAGGAATAATAAATTTTCATGTAACTTTTACATGTTCCTTCAATTATTTACAAAACAGAAGAGTTGAAGACTCCAGAATTACCACAGAGTGGAGAAATATAGAGAGGAAAGCTAGTTGAGACAAAAAAAGTTCAAAATAAATGAATTCGTACACTAATTCAAAAAGCATTAAGTACATCATGGTTGAATATGGTTTCGTTCACTCGAAACACGTGTCGTGTACATCATGGTTATTGTACATCAGCACATCATGGTTATTGCCAATCTTATTACTTCTGTTCCAAGTTTATTTCCTTCATTCCAAAACATAATCTGTTTATCAAACTGGCAACAAGGTTCGCAAACCGCTAAAATGCCATATCGATAAATCGATAAATAGAAGCGATAAATCAAGTAACTAAAGAAATAGGTAGAGAAAACAGAAATCATTAATATTTTCTTAATCTACTTCTTCATAATACTATGCAGAAATGCAATGAAACACACCCCAAAAAAAACGTTATCAATTTTGTAACACAAAAACTAAACTGGTGGTTGTAGAAAAAGAGAAATGGGAAATGTTGAGATAGCACAAAAGCAATTCCAAATTGAAGTTTGGCCAACCAACCCTATTTTATTTTCAGAAATAAGAAATCTCATCAATTTTGTTAGTTCATCTTTATGGTACTTACTCAAGTTACTGATTCTTTCAGCTTTTTTGCTTGCTAGTTCTTCTGGCGTGATCTGTTCTCCTGTGACGGCTGTGATGGCATCAATCATTCGCTGATAATTTTCTTTGTCTACATAAAAACCAGTGCCTGAACGGGCGGCGTCTAAATCTTTTTGTAAGCGATCTATCTCCTTAACCAATCCATCAATCATTTCATGTTTTGTGAGTTTTTCGTTAATGATTGGTGTATTTTTAATGTCCCTCGCTCTAGTCGCATACTCCAGGGTACTGGTAGTCTCTTCGTGGGATGTGTGTGCTGGAGAGATAGTTGCGATAATGACTGTTTTTGTGTGACCTCCTAAACTGTCTTGCAAAATTCGAGTCAGTTTTGAGTCTCTGTAAGGTACGTGCTTTTGATTCTTGTCCACAAGGGCATGAATGACTCTGCCCAAAGTGAGTAGCGATCTATAAATTAATAAGTTAAATCAATTATACGATATTTATTTATATAATCACATTCGGTGTGAAACCAGCAATTTCATTATCTTACTAATACAATTCTCGCTATACAATATCAAAGCTGTTGTCTAACAGTTTTGTAAACTTTTCATATTGAAAATAAAATTGATTCTTATTAGAGAACAGATCAAGGCAGAGAACAGATCAAGGCAGAGAACAGATTGAGAATTCATTTGTTCTTTAGATATTAGGAATTCCTAAATTTATTACTTTCCATACTTTCTACGAGGTTAAGTTTCAAACCGTTCTTCTGAAAATGAAGGGTTTAGAATTCATCATTGAACTCAGTCCCTGTGTATAAAAGTGAGTAGCATACATGGAATCCTTTGTATTCTGAAAACTGTTTCTACATGTTCTTCCCGTTTAATCAATATAAAACATCGATCATGAACCACGCGATAAATTATAAAATCTTTACCTATTTAAATTTCAATATGCATGCTCAAATTATTATTGCTTTTATACACCATATTCACACCTGATTTTTTTTTAAATTAGGTGTGAATATGATTTTAAAAACCAATAATAACTTGTGCATGCAGATTAAAAATAGCAAAGACAAGAGATTATTGGTGTCAGATACGTCAGGAGAATATAAATTATTGCGTGTTCATGTTCGATGTTTTACACAGATCAAACTGGAAGAACATTTAAAGCAAGCATAAAAGAACATAGAACGTTTCTATAATGGAAAAATAAATTCAACCTCTTACGGAAGAAAATGAGTTCAATTGTGAATTCAAAACTATTCATTTCTAGAAGAAAGTTTTGGAACTCAACTTTTTGGAAAGTATGGAAATTGATAATTTCAAAAATTCCCAATTTCTAGTGAATGATCAAATTGATTTGAATAACATTTTTTGCTGATTCTTTTCTCACCAGATAATTTTATTTAGTTCTCCTAGAATCATTACCATATAATAACTTTGTTTTCAATAGTAAACAAATAATGAAAGTAGATAGAGGCGGCTGCATGAATAAATAACATACTTTGTTTGTTCTGAAAGAAAAAAATGTACATTCTAAAATGCCATATCGATAAATCGATAAATAGAAGCGATAAATCAAGTAACTAAAGAAATAGGTAGAGAAAACAGAAATCATTAATATTTTCTTAATCTACTTCTTCAGCATACACAATTCACAGAATAAAAATTTTGGGACGGTATACTTAACATATATTTGATAAGCCAACCCCTGAAACTTGGAAAGTAAAAATAACTACACTTTCAAGAGATAATCACCCATTCACTCCTAAAACAAAATTCGAGCAGTTTCTCATAGATTATCCACTCACCTATTGATATTTGCAAGTTCCATCGCTCTCAAATCTTTGCACCCAGACCTCGCTATATTTTCACTTCCAGCCAAGTCAACTAAATTGATTTTACCAGCCTTTAAAATATCATCTCCAGTTGGAGTACTTTCCCTGGTATTAATTGATATTGTAAAAACTGTATGTGATCGAGAGCTCTGATGATTCATGAGTGTTGGTGCTATTTGCCTTTTAACAATTCCTCTTTGTAGTAATTTGCAAATTCCTTCGCTATCATGAGCTGATACCTCAGTCAATCCTTGTATGGAAACATTACCTTTATTATCACTATACATCCTGTTGAAAAATAAGTATGATAAATGAATTTTGAATGATGAAATTCTTTTATGAACTTACTGTAAAGTGTTTTCGTCTTCACTCAAGAGATCACGAATCTCCTCATTATATAATTCTATGTATGACACTTTAACATTCATTTCCACGTTGGACATTTTATTCAGCTCATCATAAATATGGAATGCAGCTCTAGGAATAATTCCAGCATCTTTATCCTATTAACAATTATTTGTATTCAAAGGATCAACTAATACTACATAATATGGATTTGATACATTTATTATTCATTGTTGAGGAAAGTTGTGGAATTGGCCGCGGTGGTAGTGCGCCCGACTCACGATCGGAAGGTGGTGGGTTCGATTCCCGCCTCGACCAGATATTTTTCTCAAAAGAATTTATCTGGTTGAAGCTGGGATGATTCTGCAACCGTGTTAGGAATCACACGTTAAAAGGTAAGACCTCGTTAGTTCTTAGCTCGCACAAGTTTCTCAACTTCTGAGAGTTGTCGTTCGTATGGGGGCGACAGCTGATTAACGGAAAAACAGATTTTAATGTTCATGAAGGCAATCATCTACATGCTACTAATCAATATTGAATTGAATAAAAACTGTCATTGGGGGACTCAATCTGAGAAACATAGAGCTATCTCAATTTAAATTTATCAACAGAATTTATTTTCTCCTCTTTGTAATTAATGATTTGCCCACTGCAGTTTAGAAAAAAAGGTATTTTGGCTCTCTACTTCTCCATCATTAAACAAAACATGTGAGGAACTTTCTTAGAAAGGAAGAATGAAAATCACTAGTGAAAACTATAAAAATAAGTAGATTGTGCAGGGTGAGAGAGAGAGAGAGAGAGAGAGAGAGAGAGAGAAATACGTTTATTGTCCTAAGAGTTCTTGTTGACAAACGATTATGAATATGTCAAAGTAGTATAAAAGTAATTCCTAAAAGCCCATTTATATAAAATAGGGTGTCAAACACATTTTTACGAAACAAAATAAATGCTATACAATTTAAAATTCNAGTTTAAAATCTGTTTTCCCTTAATCAGGTGTCGCCCCCATATGAGCGACAACTCTCAGAAGTTGAGAAACTTGTGCGGGCTAAGGACTAATGAGATCTTACCTTTTAACGTGTGATATCTAAAGGTGCGTATTCACCAAAAAAGCGAGCACGAGCGAGCATGAGCGAGCATTCTTATATGTTTGCTTGTGTTCGTTCATGTTCGCTCGTGTTTGTTCGACATATTGATGTCTCGTCCACACCAGAGCGAATATCTTCAAGTTCGTAGTCGATCCATCTACTTTGTGCGAGCACCTTTTGATGTACCGCCTTCTTCTCTATGTTTTTGAAAGCGAACAAGCATACGTTCGCTCGATCGCTAGCCCATACTCACCAGCCGATTATTGATGTAGAATGCTCGTTCCCTCTTGTTCGCTCGTGCTCGCTTTTTTGGTGAATACGCACCTTAACACGATACCTGAGAGTTTTGACCAATGATTAATCTTGAATATGGTTAATGTAGGTTATTATTTATTTATTTATATTTATTTATTGGGCAGACCCAATTTTGATTAAAGTGTTACGGTGATGTGATATAGTGGATTGAAAGTAAATTATAAGAATAATACAGTTTCAAAATAGTAAGACAACATATAGATCAACTGAGAAAAATATCACAAGGGGTAACAATATGAACTAATCTAATTCTTGTAGTAAATTATAAGAATAATACAGTTTCAAAATAGTGAGATAACATATAGATCAACTGAGAAAAATATCACAAGGGGTAACAATATGAACTAATCTAATTCTTGTAGTCAAGTAACACTGAACACAGCGCAAGCTAAAAGTATCAAATATCTAGTTCAAAAATATGGTTTTTGAAGCAAAAACTGATATATTAAAGATTTGAAGGTTATTTAAAGAGTTAGCCAATCGAAGAGTTCTGAGGATGAAGCTGTTGTATGAGTAATTGAATATGTGAAAAGAAAATGAAACGTTCACATCTGCCTACTTGAATTGCTGGAGACAAGTAGAGAACTTTTTTTGAGAATATAATTCTCTTGTGTTTTATATTCAGAGTGATTTGAAATATGTATAAAGAATACCTATCTTTAGGAAAATAGTTTAACAAGATTTATTGGGCTTGACTCCTACCATGCTTCTGATAATTTTCTTGCTGATAATTTCGATAAAACTTGCTAAACAATTATATCCAGAACGAATTTGGAAAACATTTTTTTTTTCAATTTCGATAATAACTTGACAGAATTTGAGAAAGAAATCAAATTTTCAGGCTTATATTTAGATCACAATTTAATTTATCATAGAATTCAGATATGGGTCGACCCAGAAAAAAAATTGCACATCTTGTAGTTAGATTTTATGAAATGAGAAATATTCCATTCAAATACTTGAAAATAAAATGTTTTTCTTAAAATTTTCTCAGTACCTGACATCAGTTTGGGCAACAGCTAATTCCTCTCATTTGTAACTTTCATAAAGGTTACAAAATAAAATCATAAAATGTATGTATAAACTGAATTAGAGAGAAAGGACCAGCAATCTGTATAAACCTAGAAAATTATTTGATAATAGGAGAATATATCAAAACTCATTAATTTCACTAAAAAACGTTTTTGTAAAACCTTTTATAGTAAAAATTTTTACGCTTGAGAAAATTATTGTATAGGGAAACGTGTCGCGATTTTTGTAAAACCTTTTATAGTGAAAAATCATACAATAAACTGTATTAATGAGTTTTAATGTGAATTTTCATCAAGTGTCGCCCAGATCCATTCAATTGTTGGAAAATATATCATTTCAAAATATGCATGTTCCTTTATAATGTTGAAGATAATAAACATTTTGATGAAATCTATTCAATTCTAGATGATTATACAACAAATACAATATATAGTTTCACATCCACACTAGAACAAATTTGGTCAAAAATGTATTTTTCATGATGTATCTGATTTATGTATAAAATAAAATATAAAATTTAAGACAACTAAAAAAATATATTTTGAATATAGATAGAGGTTACTATAGTCAAAATGTTGTCATAAAACATGTAAAAAATATATACATTTGAAGATATTAAAGAAGACACTCATATAGACTAGAAATTATCTGAAATATACAATTCATGAATTCTTCAGTGGAATAGAAACAGCATGAAAGTATAATATATTTTACTTTTATCTTACTCATAAGATAGATATGTTGCAGGAAAAATCCTCACTTGTTTACTCTGTAGTACATGTTCAAGAGGTAGCAAAAACGTATGTGACTTTCCGGAACTTCAACAATTGTTTCCTAATATGACTGATAACCAGTCCATGCAAAGCTTATTGTTAAATCATCTGAAAATACAACTTTCAACAGGTAATGACCAAATGTATTGCCAAATATGTGCCAAACTAACTGAGTACTTTATATGTATACTACTTTATTGTGAATTCTCAATTGGGAACACATAAATGCGTTCCAGTCTACTACTTGTTATCATTTTTCTCAACTTCATTAACATTTCCAGTATTTTTTCAGACTGATACACTGCAAATTACTTTTACAAATTTGAAAATACTACCTCGTTCCAGTTTCCAATTAGATTACACTTTTCACCGGTCATCGTATATGTTTTGCCTGTTCCAGTTTGACCATAAGCAAATACTGTACAATTGTACCCGGCCACAACATCTTTTATCAAGGGAAAAACAACATTCAAGTAAAGTTCGATTTGTGAGGCAGTAGGTTTGAAAACCCTGTCAAAAGTATATTTCTTTTCTTTCATATAAAGTTCTTTATGTGTGGGGCACTTCAAGATGCTTTTTACATTCTGGTCCTCTTCTTGTTTGGTTACAGGTCTATAAATAAATTTACATGAAGATTATTTTCTATTCAATATACCTGAAAGGGAACATACCTTATTCGAACAACCACTTTTACATTCTGTAAGGGCTGAGTTTGTTTTTTCTTAGGATGCAAAATCCCCGACATTTTTAATAAGTATTTTTTTCTGTCCGATAAAATTCAGTATGATTTTTCTCTTGTCCAATTTGGACGACGAAAGAAATGATCCAACTCAAAATAATTAGAGAAAAACCGGATAATCCACTTCTACTACTACAAAAGAAATAAGTTCAACATAACATAACCTTCTAAGATTCAAATTCAAACAAATCTTAACGGATGCTTACTCAGCTTACTAGACACTTGACATAATAAATATCAGTAACACAGAATCATAGAGATGATAATGTGGACTGTCCTTTTTTATATTACAGCCCTCGATAAAGCTAATAATAAAAAGAGTACATTTACTTTCTAAACAGACCGAATCCCCGAAAAACCACTCTTCTATATACGTATATATACAAATATGAAAGTTATTGAGTGTAGTTCTTTCTTTTGGTAACCAAGTGTTGCCCATCCTTATACTTGGCTGCACCATACTGATGATGGGCCAAAAGCCCGAAACACGTGTCTATGGTTTGCCACTTGGTACAAGAAACACTTCAGTCTGAATGATCACGAGTTGATAGAAATACCAGAATTGATTTTTTTTTAAGAATACACGAACCAAATGAAAGTTTAATTTAAATAAAAATTAAAATGTTTCAGATGAAAATTTATAAAATATTGAAAATAATCCAAATGTCCGTAATGATGACAATAAGCTAAGAGTTGAAGAGGTCTCACCTTTCAGCGAGCCATTTCTGTCTGATTATATATGGCCTATTCTGAGAGGAATTTCAAATCTGAGATTTTTAGCAAAATTGTGCAAACTATGCAGAGGGCAACTCTGAAAGTGCCTAATATTCCATTTTTCAGGCCTGTTTTCACGACATCCCAAAATTTCTGTTTATGCAAACGTTTTTCACTCGGAGTTTCACTCACTTCACCAAACTTCTTGAAGAAGAGGCCTATTTCAAATCTATGAATGCAAGAACACAGTTAAAAAGTATAGGTTGAATAATTGAATTTTTCAAATTATAATTGCTTCCTTTTTTCAAGATTAACAGGATATAGACATGATTTAAGACGCAGTCATGTTTTTCCAAAATGAATACCGCAAAAAATTGAACTTTACTGCGAGCCGGATAAATCATGGAACTACAGAACAATTTTTTTCTATCTTGGGTTTACATATGGAAGGCTGGAATAATTCATTTTGATTTTTTAATAATATTGTCTCCGGAAACCAGTGAAATGTATACTATACGTGCCCTGGAAACTAGAAAGTTTCCGCAAAAACTAGAAGAACGTTCAGATCGTAGAATACATACTATCATAACCTTATAAGGGAGATGAAAATCAAATCATTGGCTGTTAGCTATAATATTCAAGACGTAATTGGAAAAAAAGAAGAAATATTATCAAATATATAGGTTACAAGTTACAAATAAGGCGGAGAAGATATCTGCATCATTTTGAGTGTGGCGTTTGGGAATGGTTTGAGAAAATAAAATACCATCAAAATACGTTTAGCGTTTGAGTTGAAATCAAACTGAACAAGAAAAATTGACATAATAAATAGTATATTCAGTAGTTTGTCAAAATGAATGACGAAAGTAGTGAAGAAAAACGAAAACGAATATCTGTTGGTCTTTACATTAGTTGTCCTGCTAGTATAAAACAAGCTATCGACTCTGCCATAGAATCTGGGTATCATTTCATAATCACACAATTGACGCATCCAAATTATTCCAGAGAGTTGAAAAGCAAAGCTCCCCGTGCTATAGGCAGAACTGATCGTGTTCTTCGAAGTTCAGAATGGAACAGGTTAATTGTTGGGGAATTGACCCATGTAGATGTTGACAGTGAAGTGGAACACATTCAAGAACACAGTAAAGACATATTAACACAAGAGCTAGGCTTTGCCTCACATTTGGGTGTTCCAGCAATATGGATTTCACTAACCAAACCGAACAACATACAGTTGGCTCGTATATTACATGATAAGTTGGTAACAGGTTTTAGTTACAGTGTTTGGGTTAATGTACCTCTCATTCACCCTTCTAGGTTTAGCCCAATTTGTGAAACAAAATTAGATTCTTGGGATTTGTGGAATGATTTCAGGACACTTTGTAATTATGATAAACGTTTAGGATTAGTGTTAGATTTGTGTGACATCAAACATGCAGTACCGAATTCAGAAGTAAACAGATGGATTGGGGAACCTGTTAAAGCAATTGTGATTCCCACTTCGTACTTTCTTACAAATCAATATGGGAAACCTGTTTTGTCCAGATTGCATCAAGAAATTATAAAGAAATTCATGAGCGTTGATGTGCAGTATGTTATCAAACATGATTGTGATGGGGATTTATCTTTATATGTAAGGTATTTGTACTTTCTCGGTAAAAAGTTATATGTTCAGGATACAATGTCGGAGTTTGTTCATGGCTGTGAGGACTTTCTGCAAAATCCCTTGCAACCCCTAACTGAACATCTAGAAACAAACATTTATGAAATTTTTGAAAAGGATCAGGTCAAATATGATACATATCAAAGTGCTATTTATAAAGCTCTTGAAGCTTTCCCAAAAGACAATGACGAAGTTCCAGTTGTGATGGTTGTAGGAGCTGGTAGGGGGCCCTTGGTCCAAGCAGTTTTAAACGTTTCCTATACATTAAATAGAAAAGTGAATGTGTATGCCGTTGAAAAAAATCCCTATGCTATAAACACACTAGTTGATCGAGTCAATAATGAATGGGCAAATAAAGTGACACTCATCAACGAAGATATGAGGAATTATCAGCCACCAGAGAAGGCGGATATTCTGGTTTCAGAACTATTAGGATCATTTGGAGATAACGAACTTTCTCCTGAGTGTCTTGATGGGGCCCAGAGATTTTTGAAAAAAACTGGTTTATCTATTCCTATGTCATACACATCCTATATTGCTCCAATTCAAAGTATCAAAATTTACAATGAAATTCGAACGAACCGTCCAGCTGATAAAACATTACAGTATTGTTATGAAACACCATATGTTGTCCACCTTGCAAACTATTACCAAATCGCACCTCCCCAAGAGCTTTTCACTTTTACACATCCAAACTGGAGTGAAAAGGTGAACAATCAAAGATTCAAGAGACTAAAGTTCAAGAGTGAACAGGCGTGTGTCCTGACAGGATTTGCAGGGTTTTTTGAAACAATACTTTTCAAAGACATCACCCTCAGCATCCATCCAGACACTCATACCCCTGATATGGTCAGTTGGTTTCCTATTGTATTTCCATTACAAGAACCAGTACACGTTGAAGAGGGTGGTATGATTGAATTGTCATTTTGGAGGTCAGAATCTGAAGATAAAGTGTGGTATGAGTGGTGCATACATTCACCAGTTAAAACGGGAATCATGAATCCAAATGGCAGGTCATATTTCATCAAGAAACATTGAGAAATGTACTAGATATGTAATTTTGAGGTACCATATGATATCAGTTGTTTTTATTGAGAATGTTTCTTTTTTTTCTTATTTTGTAGTTCATTTTGAATAAAAACCAACTAAGTTCAATGAGGTTGACTTTGAATTTTACATATGTACTTACCTAGTTAAAAATTTCCTAGTGCAATTGCTTGTCGCTATCATTTGATCAAAAAATACTTTATTGTCTGAAGAATATAGCCATCCAAATGAATTGAAAACAAAATGAAGATATCCAATATACTACCAGTGATATTTAGGTTAATGAATAACATATATGAAAATATAATGTGACAGCACTAAAAATGTATTTGTAATATATTCTAGAATATAAGACTTCCTCCATCATGAGCTCCTTTACAACTTTACTTAATCTTACTTCACTTTTTATCTCTCATAAAGTGAGAAGAAGTTGATTGAATATTGTGTTGCTCTTGGATTTGAGAAAAATATCTGGTCGAGGCGGGAATCGAACCCACGACCTTCCGATCGTGAGTCGGGCGCACTACCACCGCGGCCAATTCCACAACATTCCACAACAATTAATAATAAATGTATCAAATCCATATTATGTAGTATCAGTTGATCCTTTGAATACAAATAATTGTTAATAGGATAAAGATGCTGGAATTATTCCTAGAGCTGCATTCCATATTTATGATGAGCTGAATAAAATGTCCAACGTGGAAATGAATGTTGAAGTGTCATACATAGAATTATATAATGAGGAGATTCGTGATCTCTTGAGTGAAGACGAAAACACTTTACAGTAAGTTCATAAAAGAATTTCATCATTCAAAATTCATTTATCATACTTATTTTTCAACAGGATGTATAGTGATAATAAAGGTAATGTTTCCATACAAGGATTGACTGAGGTATCAGCTCATGATACAATAAACGTATTTCTCTCTCTCTCATCAAGTTCTTAGGTGTTACTTTGGATAGTCGGCTAAAATGGGAAGCGCAGATAAATACTGTATGTTCAAAACTAAGCACCATAGGCTATATAATAAAAAATCTGCTTGACACTATCAGTAAACATCCTGAAATTATTATATTTTGGGATGGTTCAGTCTCCTCTGTGATATGGCATGATCTTTGAAAAGGGGGTATCTCAAAAAAAGATGATGAGAACAATGTGTTGATCTCATCCAAATACATGTAAACCTTTGTTTAAGAATCTCTAAAAATTAACCTTTCCATGTTTATATATTCTTGAGTTGATTATGTACATCAAAATAAAGAAAAAAGAACTAATAAGAAATAAGGACACTTATATGTATAGAACCAGGAATAAAGAAAGACTTCGATAACCCTAGGCAAAGTCATCATTCTGAAAATTCACCAAAGCATATTTGTATCAAATGTTTCAACAAAATAAGAGATATACTAGATGTGAATCTGAATATTCTATTCAAAAATAAATTGAGAAATTTCCTGATTCTTTTGTGAAACTGAACAACAATTATTTGTGGATTACCTTTTTTATGACTAGTCTGATGAATTTTACACATGTGTGTATGAATGATGCCATGTATAACATGGATTGATGAATAAATTCTATTATTATTATCTAAAGTTTGACCCCTGCTTTCACAGAGGTCAAACTTTACACTTCCATCACCGTTTGAAAGGAAACGAAACAACTTTTGGTACAACTCCTTAAGCTGCAGCTTAAAGAGTTGTTCAAGGTACTTAAAATTAGTGGAATGTCGTTACAATGTATTAATTTATTTTTCAGGTTGTGTCTTGCAAAGAATATGTGTGTATTGAAATTTTAATTCAATTGTTTTTTTCCATATTTTTTCAATTCACAGGCTATTATTTCCTGAAACATTTCCTTTGAATATTCTATACTATTTCATCATTATATTGCTTTCTTTTTATACTATATATCATATTATTATTATTGTGATTACAAATTGTAATTGGGACTACCCGTTAAATAAATAAATATTATTAAAAATCACGTGCAGTCTACTCAATGAAATCCTCAAGCCTCAATTATTTTGGCTGCAAATCAAGGAAATTCCAGGAAAAATTCAAGACGTTTACTATGACTGAAGTTTTCAAAAGATCATGCACAAAAATGTTGACATTCACCACTTCTCAGTGTTTCCGAGATGTTGCGATTTTTTAAAAATTTTTAGAATAAATCTAGATTAAAAAATTTTCTACTATTTGAGAACATTGAAGACTTATGGAAGTGTTGAGCCATACTCTCGTGCTTGATGCCTAAATGTTTCATTTTGTTACATATTTGTTGAAGGAGATGAACCTCTATGGAATATATATTTATTTTTTTTGGTTTGAAAAAGATACTTTTCGATTTCAATATAAGATCTGTTCTTGCTGTGCTACAGTATACTCGGGATAAAAACATGCCAAAATGAAACAACAATAAACAAATAATAGGTATTTTTATTATCTCCAACTATTAACAATATATTTTGGCACTTAAATAGAAATATTTTAAAACCTACTTAACTATTTACAAAAGTATATAATACTGACTCAAAAAATGTAAAAGTTGATAATGCACCTTCAATAAGACTAAGTTACTATAAATAACTAATATTAATATCTCACTATATATAGAGCAATTTCCTGAATTTTCTCAAAATATAAGACCCACAAAAATGTTTAATGATCATTTAGAAGTATTCTAGTTGACAATCTATCCAAGAGTGCTTTCAACTGAATCTGATATATCTGAAAAAAATTGCCATTTGAATGACTATTATTAAAAAATTAGCCTTGTCAAGTTCACAGTCAATAATATCCATAAGTAATTATCTTTGACAAATTATTATCAATGTATTTGCTTAAATTGAGAATATAAAAGAATAGTTTTCAAAGAAAAATATTTTAATTCATGATTTATATTTTCTTACTGACTTACTACAGAAAAGAACAATTTTCTGTAAAGGGGAAATGAAGCTCATTCTTCTTTCAGTACTCATTAATGTCTAAGTGATATATTTTTCTCATCAACCAATCTTTACTACATCGTATTTTCGGTTTTACGTAACCTTTCAAAACCATTACAAAAAGCCCTAACTATAATTACATCACAGTTCTAGTCTTGAAGGTTAGCAATAATACATCACAGCTGTATTTGGAAAAAAAAAATCTTGAGGACACATCAATATTTCCCATATTTTCTAAAACTGCGAATATTATCATATCAACCTCAAAATATTTATACGAAGATAGTTATGTACTTGGAGGAATACAATGATTCATAACTTTATGGCTATCAACACTGGGCCATTGGAAAAAAACAGAACAATTAACCTACTCACAAATATTTCTCGATAGCCACTTCTGTGATATTTAAAACAAAGATAACTCTGCCCATTCTGATTCAAACTTTGATTATAATGGTGATTGCTGGATCTTCATATTTGTTTTGAGTTGAAAACAAATGTTTAAAAAGACTGAACTGGTAGCCAAATGATGGGTAGCAAAAGCAAAATATGCAACATTTGAAAAATATCTGTTCTTTTTTACCAACATAACTTTAATATTTACAAAGAATTATTAAAGTTGCAACTAGACCTAGTTATCACATCCAAATTACAGAGAGACCATTGGTTTGAGAATATAAGAGAATTTCAGATTGTCTACCACCATTTATAGTGTGAGAAACAGAATATTTGAAGGTGGGTTCAATTCGCTATGTTACAACACTGGCGGGACTGTTAATAGCCATAATGCTTCCCAAAGTCGCTAACGGAGTTCATAGCCTACCCAGAAAATGCGACTAATAATGACAATGGGAAGCTCATCATTCAGATAAGTCTGAAACTGAGTCATAAGGAAAAACAGTTCTGTCTTTTACAGATCATAATGCTTTATTTTCGTGAAAGTACTTCATTTTAACTATTCATTATCTGAATTTTTTTGATTTGAGTAAAAGACAGTGTCAGAAATGATTAACGTAAACTGCTTTGTAGATGGTTGTTACCGAATAAAAAGTGATTATCGTGACTTTCCATATCATAAATTCTGACAAACAACTATGCACAAAGTAACTACATAGAAATAAAACTTAAATCGAATTTTCAAAACAGAAAAAATACTATTTTCACGTTATCACAATTAGGCAAATAACAGCAAGCTCCAAACCAATAGACAGACATGTGAACTTTTACTGCACTATATTAATCGTCAGTTTCACCATAAAAAATAATTTCTCAAGAGAAATCAGTGGAAATATCACATTAAAATGTGAGACCCCGTTAATCCTCAACTTTGTGAGAGTAATAGAGCAAGTTGGCAAACAAAGTCATAATATTTCATTTATCTAGACAAAATGACCTCATTGAATAATAATTATAAATATACTGTCAAGAAAGTATTCCTACACTCGATAAAGCTGTGCCGATTGAGAAAACTTTGAATAATCATTTGTGGTAGTTTCTGAACAGCCTGAGGAAGCTATTGCATTGTGAAACACATATTGCAGTTTTTGTAAACTATGCAGTGAAAATCTCCCAATAAAGTGTTTTGAATCGTCAGATTTGTTTTACAAAAACAGACATCTCTCAAATATCACATTTATGACTCATCTACCAAAAATATCTGGAATATAACTGTAATCAAACCTATGGTGAGTCATTCTTTCCCTGTTTTCGTAATATGCTGAGATTGCTCTGAGGATTCGCCAAAGAATAAGTTTCTGCTTCAAAAACTGGAGGATATTCCAAGCCAGGATAGTCTGTGTGTGGGCTGATGTTCATCGAAAAGGGTTCAGTAATCACTGGAGAGGAATTTTCCAAAGAGTAGGAGCTCTGCGATATTGATATTTGCTGAAAACAAGATAATTAATTTTGAAGTAGAGTTACACATATTTCATCTGTCACTATGTATATGGCAACATGAAATCTTGGGTACATATAAGTCAAAGTACTTGTGATGCACTGTTTGGAACCTTTAGTGTTGTAGCGAATATTACTGGAGTTCTATTGCAACACCAAACCGTTACTTTCAACACCACAACCCGTTTCGATCACCATGTGATCATCTTCAAGAGGAAGATTAATCTTCCTCTTGCAATTTGAGGATAACAGACTTTATTAACAAAACATATAAAAAATCAATCAAATGAAGTCTCTTGTGCATAACCTTTTTGCAAATGTTGACTTTCGTTTATATGTTTCATCGTTTTCCCTCATAAGGAACCAACAATAATCCTCCATCATTGCTGCATCCCATCTGCCTTGGTAACGTTGCTCCATCGTCAGTATGTCTTGGTGGGACTTTTCCCCTTGTTCGTCACTGACAGCACACAAATTTTCCGGGAAAAAATTCTAATGGGAGTGCAAGAAATGGATTGGGAGAGACATGTGACATCCCATTTTGCAGTAGTTTTCAAGTGTTCTTCCTACAAGTGTTTCATAATTTTCTACTTTCTTGTTCAATATTACTTAATTTCTGATCAAACTGTTGATCACTTAGTAGTTTTCTAATTTGTGGTTCAACAAATATACCTTCCTTGAGCGTTGTATCACTTAATTTAGGAAAAAAGTGTTTAAGATATTTAAACGCATCACCTTCTTTGTCTAATGCTTTTACAAAATTTTCCCTTAACCCCAAGTTCAATGTATTAAAGAGGGACAAAACGTTTTTGGGATTAACAAGAGGTATATTCTTCACGTTAGCTTGACCTGGAATATATTTATCTCTCGGAGGCCATTCTTTTACTTGATAATGGCTCTGTGTTGCCCTGCTGTTCCAAAGGCAAAGTAAAGTTAAAATAATATAGTTAATGGGAAGTTTATCAAAATTTTGACTTTTTGAGTATGGTAAAACTTCATTTTACTAAAATATGTACTTACTGGTGTTGAAGATGTGGCGCTAGAGGGCCAACTCAAGTCAGAACCGGAATTGTGCTTCTTGAAAATAGCTCTGTGCAATTTGGGTGATCCTAAAAAGGTTTTTTCTTTTTTACTTTCAGACTTCCCCCCTCCAAACATTTGTTTCAATTTGCCACCTTTTTGCGATTTCTCATCGAGGTTAAGTTCGAAGGCAAATTTGGGTTTGGAGTTTGGATCTTGGCTTGAAGGGAGAAGCATGGGAGTATACTGAACAGCAGATTTCAACTTGACTTTTGTAGATGCTGCATCGTGCACTTTATTTGTGTATTTTGATTTTTTATCTGCTGCCGAAAAGCTGTGCTGTTTCTTGATTTTATGTCCCTTCTTCGGCGTGTCGTGGTACATGGTATCATCAAGAGCTCGGTTCATAGCAAACTGAACGTCGTTCACAGTTTCTGGACAGTATATCATTTCATAGGATCTTTCTTTGGAAGGTGCCGATACATTTCCATCTGACATATATGGTGCAGCTACAGCTGACTCAGTTTTTAAATATGTTCCCTGAATTTTGTGAGTCCTAGGAAGGGATCGGTTCACTTTTTGCTCATAGCCTTTATTGGCTTTTGGATATGTAGCAGTTTTGTTATTATCAAAATCGTCAGACTTTTGATTTTTTTTGAGGGAACCCAGACGCTTTCCAAAGCATGAGCTACTGCTGTCGTGTTTTTCAGTCGAGGCTGTTACTCTTGTTTTCGGAGTACTAGAGGGCTTACTCTCAGCTTCTTCTTCACTATCTTTTGGACGGATTGGAACTTCTCCTGCATGCCAAAAAAATGATTACTAACACTTTTCTAAAAATAAAACTATACAATAAATGATCTATTTATAGTAGCTCTTCTTAAAACAGAATCTAAATAAATAAAACAAAATGGAAACGACTAATTATAGGCTCATCACTTTACAAAAAACTAATGGAAATTTCCTAATACCAAGACTCTGACCATTCAAAGGAAAAACACAAAAAGTCTATAAGAATGCAGTTTTCCGGAGAGTTGGAAAAAATTGTCAGACAGCTCCTATGTAGTAAAAAAATGATAAAAAGGTATATTCGAAATGAACTTACCATAAACAACTTCAGGCTTAACCATCTGCAATTTCTTGGAAACCTCTTCCACAATATGGTGCGGATTCATTTTCCTTTCTTCCGTTTGCCTGATCATCAGCTCTTCGAGAGTCACAAAACCAGCTAAATTTTCAGTGGGAGGTTTGAACTGACTTTTGGTGAAACCAGGTACACTAAAGTCTGTGAGGTTACATAAACTGGGATTACTGGCATGAATATAATTTATAGGCTTAGTTTTATTTTTGGAATATTGCTGTGGCTGCTCTGGTTTTACGACTTCTACAGTCAAGTTAGGAACGCTGACGTTTTGTGAATATGACAGGTTCTGAGGTGTGAACATGGGGACATGCGAGGTAAAATTACCAGTAGTAATGCTCGACTGTGCTTCAGTGGTACGAATTTTCCTGTATGATCTGAACTGAGATGTTGGAACAGGAAGTGAATGTTTCGGTTGGTTGCTGGATTTGTTGAAAAACCACTTTCTATCCAAACTAGTACTCCCACTGGGTGACGATTCTGCCGAAGACTTTTTTGAAGTGAACTTCTTCAGTGATCCAAACTTTTTCAAAGAATCAGATTTTTCTTCTTGCTTGGGTTTTTCAGTGTCAGATTCATCAGTTTCAGAATACAAACTAGGATCCTGGCTTTTATGTGATTCATTGTGTAGGGTCGCAGTTCTTATCAAATCAATCCAGGATTGTAAAGCATCCGGATCATCTGCTGAAAAATAAAACACTGTGCCCGTATGGTAAACCTTGAAGGCATTTGACCTTGACTTGACCTGAAATAAAAACAATGAATTGAACCAATTTGAAATTCATTGAAAAAATACCAAGGCATACCTCACTGGCAACAGCTACTGTAAATCCAGATAGAAAGATAAGACAGGCTGCTTTAGGACATTCCTTGGTTCTGAAGCCGTACAAACAATTGCCCAATAATACGAACCATCTTTTTTCCCAATGGACGTTTTGATTATGCTTCCCTCTCAATCTCTGGTACAGATAACCTTGGATGTCAGCGGGACTAAGATCATTAACTGTAACTTTCCTTCTCTCTATAAAGTGAAAAACATTATCAGGACTCACAATCAATCCTTCATCCGATGAATATATCAATCTTATTGGGGTTGAAATAATTTTAAAAATTCCTAATGGTAATGAAATAACCGACAATCAATAGATCTCTAGAAACCCTATTATTATTTAAAATTTCTGAGGACGAGTATTACATATGTCAACAAAGCTGTGAGAGAATTTTGCTAAATGTGGGGCTATAAAAAAATGTTTCAAAATTTCCCAAATCAATAATGGTGATCATACTAGTTCAGATTTATATGATTATCTAAACTTGTTTAAGAAACTTTTGGAATTTAAAAGTTTCAAATCAACTGTTGAAATTATTTTACCTACGTACTGATTTTATACAACTTAAAAATATGAAGCTGAAATCCAATTTTTTATTCATCATGTTAGTTAAGGTTACTGAATGAAGTTTTGAGACAGACATATTTTTTTAGTTTTATACATAAAAATTTATACATTTATTTCAAGTATCACTATAACACCTACCATGGCTTAAATTTGTTTATTACGTATAGTCGTTTATTATTTATTTTAATAATCATAACTTATTCTAGTATTCGTACATGTCTTTTTTTTTGAATTTGAACTTAATGCACTATTTGACAAATGAAAATGCATACCTTTATTTAATATGAAGTAATAACTTGACTCTAGGGTTTGTTTGCACATTGATGTAACATTTGGGACTTTGTTACAATTCTGTAATGTACTTGACATAGTTACGTTTTTGTTTTATAATTTAATTATTCATTAGTGTTGAATGTCTTTAAGCTTATTTTTGTCTTTTTAATATTTTTTCTTTTTTTATGATCCATTTGGTATTTTATTAATAGTTTGTGGTGTATAGGACTGATAAAAAATAAATAGGTTTATTTATTTTTAAGCAATTACAATAGTTTATATTAAGGATCTTACTTGGGCTCATAACTGAACTCTAATGCTTGACTGGTTTCAACAATTGAAACTTTCTTGATGTACCATTTGGGATTTTATAATAATTCTGTAGTGTACTTGACCGATAAATAAATAAATAAATAAATAATTGATGCAAACTGAATAAAAAATATTCAATTACGATTAATCAACCAAGAATAATTAAAAATGACATCTACCAGACCTCATGTGAATTCAACAATAAGTTTAATCGAATATAGATGTATTGAAAAATTCCATTGACGAAATTATTTCAATATGGTATTGGCAACAGATACTTGCAATGGCAATTGATTCCTTGCAGAATCAATAAAAAAAGTTTGCTTTAAATAATCTATATCAGACCTTAGAAACGTTGCAAGAACGCGTCTTAGGACCTATCCTACATATTTTGTACTTGAATAACAAGTTAGAATGTATTAATAAAAACTAAAATAATTATTGAGAAATAAATGTAGTCTTGATAGGTGTCAGTAACTATCTCAAAATTCAATGAAAACTTAAATTACATGTTCACAAAATAGTATCAGTTCTGAAGAAATTAATTCAATTAATGATCTCTTTAACATTATTTAAACACGAGTTGCGATTTTGTAAACTGTCCAGTGAAAATCTCACTATAATATGTTTTTTGAATATGATAGTTATGTATTTTCATTTTTCATTTTTGATGTTGCTGGTTATTAAATATATATACATACAAGGCAAGGTCAGAATGGACAGTCTTTTAAATATTGGTCTACAGCTTGCCTGATAATGAGTTTCGACCATACATCTTATAATTTCAGACCATAGCTTAATAAGGAATTAGCAAGTCCCTGGTATGTTAGTTTAAGAATATCCAAAGAGTCAGTGCTGTGCAGTTGTCGAATAACAAAGCAAATACTGCTCAATTTGGATACTAAATTGTTTATATGAATTTCCCATGTAAACTTATGATCCACATAAATTCCAAGAAATTTAATGTGATAAACTTGTTCTTTAGATTTATGATTCATCCTTATTAATGGACTATAATCATAACGAATATTCTTTGGCTGGAATAACATGAAAAATGTCTTTTGTATATTAACTGATATTTCGTTATCGACACACCATTCATAAAACATATTTGCTTCAATACTTGATATTTCCACCGATTTTGCTAGATTATTCTCCGCGATTAACTGATCAGTATCATCAGCATAATTGATGATTTTATTTTCGGATCTGCATGAATATGTTATATCACTAATAAAAACAATAAAAAGTAAAGGACCTAGAACTGATCCCTGTGGTACACCAACAATTACTACTGCAGGATTTGACTTAACAGATTCAATAATTACTATCTGTGTCCTGTTTTCTAAGTAAGATACAATCAACTTATTAGCCACATCCCTGACGTCCAGATTGTAGAGCTTATCTAATAATAGTATATGATCAACTGTGTCAAAAGTGCGACTCAGATGGAAAAATAGAGCAATAGAAATTTTTTTATCATTCAGATATTGATAGATTTGTGTGCACAATACTTTAGTGGCAGTTTCAATGGATTTTCCATGTCTAAACCCGTGTTAACAATTTGAAAGGTGCTGTCAATTACCTTGGCAAATTGGTATTGTAGGCATACATTCCTGTAATTGCCCACATCTTCTCTGGATCGTTTCTCTTTATAAATTGGGACCGATTTTGATATCTTTAAAACCTTTAGGTAATGTCCGTCAACAAACGACATGTTTATTATGTGTGATAGTGGATAACGTATTAAATCATTAACTTGAAAATCATTCTTGAAATAAATAAAAAACTACCCACCGATTATTCATGTTACATGATAAAACACAACCATTAATGAACTTTTCTTGACCTCTTTGGAACCGTAAAAAACTAATTATAGGTGTGCAAAGGATCTATTACTTACTTGCTGTCAGAGTGTTCTTCTTTTTCGCCTTGCATTTACTTGAAATCATTGCCTTCACTATAGAATTTGTGGGCGAAACTTTCGAGTCTCCAGTTCCTTTCTGTATTTCATAGCTTGGTACTGCTTTATGAACGACCAGATCAGTGTCCACATCAATTTTACTTTTCGGAACTGGAGTGGAAACTGATTTAGGTTCCAAATGTTTTGAACTGAAGTCACCCTCGAAATCCATTTTATTTTTAGTTACTGGCGTGGAAACCATTTTGGGTTCGAAGCATTTCGGAGTAAGTAAGTCGTCTGGCACGTTTTTGAGAATTGGTTCCGGGGCTAATGTTTCGGTAGAAATTGACTCAATTTGTTTGGATTCAGAGAAATCGAATACAGGTTTCACTGAGACAGTTTCGGATCGACTACCTTTGGAAATTTCAGCAAACACAGGCTTTGGTGAATCCACTGGATAAATGGGTTTTGGTATATCCAAAACGTTTCTTGGTGGTGGTTTTGGTGGGACTTCAATTGTGTGGACTTCTGTAACAGGCACTTCTGCATCAACAATTTCTACTTTCTGTACTAGCGAACTTTCTGGAGCAGCGGAAGGCCTTAATTCGCAAACCGCTTCCGGTTGGGGAATGATAGTGTTTTCCTTCAGAATTTCCTTTGGTTTTTCTGGTAGAGGGGAAATTCCCAAGTTCTCAGTTTTCTCAATGGGCTCTTCTGTAAGATCGTAGGCTGGTGTGCTATGACTTTTGTCCAGCTTACCTCTCAGTTTCGTAGTGGCACTTCTTGGAGGTACAACTGGTTTCACCCTACCTTCAGGTTTCGTAGGAACTTCAGGTGGTTTTTTTACCGTTACTCTTGGCAAGACTCTCGGTTTTACTGTTACCTCCTGTTTTTGTTCATCAAACTTTCTAATTATATTGTGTATGTTGATTTCAGACAGAATCGGGTCTTTTATAACAATGCTGTTGGTTTTATCAACCTTTACAGGAAGAGCTACTTCTTTTACCACCGGAGAGCTTTTCTCTTCCAACTTAGAAGGCTTTTCTTCGAGAATAGTTTTCATTTTAATTGTATCTATTATCTCTTCGACAATTTCCTTCTTCCAGTCTTGAGCCATACTCGTACGATCTGTAAGCTCTCTTCCTTCGTCGATATATGTTATGTTTTCATTATTCAAGCTTGTCAAACTTATTATACTAACGCTCTTTTCCTCGTCCAGATTCGAAGGTTCATTTTTTATGACAATTTCTTCATCTTTGTCATTTTTGCCTTTAACAATATCACATTCTTCTTGAAAATTAACTTTTTTCTTTATGTTTTTGTCTTTCGCATTTTTCCTCTGTGCAGAACTATTAGAATGAGTGATACCAAGTACAGTTGTTGGTCTTGGACTCAAGTCAAGAGCGACGTTGCAAGAAGCGCTTTTATCTCGCAAAAATTTTGAATCCTCTTCAAACTTTGAGCCGTCGATTTCGTACGAACTTGCGTGAGCGGTGTTTTTACGAGATTTCATGAATTCCCAGTACTGAAAATATTAAATTATGAAAAAAGTGAATGGTTGATTGGAAATCATCCCTTTATATATATCGTATATCAGTGTGACTGTTAAAATAACACTACTAGATCTGAAAAAGTATTTATGCAACAAAGATAAATGTTATTTATCATGACAGGATGTGAAGGAGTCGGGATTCCTTTCATTTATTTGAATGTCTAACATGATAACGACGGTTTCCTTTAAATATGACTAATGCAGTTACAACTTCTCCTATATTTATTTACATACAATCAGTTTCTCACATACGTGAAAACTTTGTGTTTCAAGGCAAAAAAATGAACTTCGAAATTTATAACTATTGATAATGAGATCAAAGGAATAATGATTATGAAATATTTTGAAAATATATACCTGGTATATAAAATTAAATATAAATATAAATGTAAATATTTTTCAAAATCAAAAATAACTATTCAATTTTTTCATTTCTCTAATAGTGCTTCCTAGTAGTTTCATTACCTTTCCCGGTTCATTTTGCACTATCAGAAAAATAATTGAATTGATTTTATATGAACTACTGTAAGAAAAACCTTCATTCCGACCAAATTTGGTAATTTGATAATAAGTTTTCAAGTAAAAAAATAAAATTCATTCATCTGCACATTGTCATGACGTTAGCTATTATTGAGAAATAAAGACGTATAGGATTTTCGTGTAGAAATGAAGTGTATATTAATGTAATACATGATCCATTATGGGAATCACGTCACCAGGACAGGTGATTACCTATTCAGTCCATATTTTCTTCATGAATGGGCATAATTATAGCAGTTTCTTGAATAAGAATATCAAAATTATAATAATCACATATACAGACCATAATGATATTTCATTTAAGGCAATATTTTTTTTTTACTTCCAGAAACTCTGAAGCTATATAGAAATAAAAAAAATTGGAAACGATTGAAACGATTTAGATTTCTCGCTCATTCAAAAATTCGCTTTTCCAATTTAAATAACAGAAAAATATTTTTTGATATATATTTTTTTTGAAAAATTAAGTGAAAAGGTGTCAGTCATATAGGATTGAATTTGCTCAAAAATGTTCCTATGAGCTGAAGCAGTATGACCCATAGTTTTCAAGTTACAGAACTTGTAAGTTGAGTTTAAATATAAATAGATAATTCAATCTTACACAGAAAATGAACAGACTGTGTTAGGAATCACACGTTAAGAGTTAGGACCTCGTTAATCCTCAGCTCGCACAAGTTTCGACTTCTGAGGGTTGTAACCTGCAGTACCACATCATCTGAAGATCTTGATCTTCCTGAGTTATTTAAATGGAACATTGAATTTTTGGACAAGCCAGCAATCAGTTCACTTGAAATTAATGTTCATCATTTCCAGATAGAAAGGAAGACAAAAAATGGCTGAAAATGAAACATCCTAAAAACCTAGCTCCCCTCTGGCTTAATGCGCCTCAATGGAAGCAAAAGCCATTATCATAGAGGGAGAGAACTTAGATCCCAGGATCTAAATAGTTTTGATTATTTCATGTGGGATCATTTCAAAACATTGGTTCACAACATATCAATTTATTTTGAGAAACAATTAAGGAATAACATCACAGTTTTTATGAAACTAATAGAAACAATCCCGGTATTTTCCAAATAGTATGCGACTTCACAGAGAAAAAGGCTCGCATATTTGCAGAAGGTGAATTTGAATAAGTTATAATGAATCAGGTATCAAACAGTTCCATAATATTGCTTTGATTTATTCTTCTGTTCATTCAGGGTAAACTTGTGTTAGCATTACAAAACATTAATTTCTCTAACTTTATTATTTTCACATTTGAAAATTATTCTTTTGAATAATTGAGTTATATAAACTGTTTTTTAGTGAGATTAGAACGAATGAATTTTATTTTTCTATGCAACAGTTTGTCAAATGAAAAAAAAATTTAGTAACCAGAAATTGCCTTTTGATGTTTAGAAGATATGCATTATGTTTCACAAAAATATCTAGTGCGACATCAAAGTTATCATAATAACATTTTTTTTCTTAGAATAAGAAATTTTCATCCAATTTAACCGACCTTGTAACTCTTGGCCGCGGTGGTAGTGCGCCCGACTCATGGTCGGAAGGCCGTGGGTTCGATTCCCGCCTCGACCACATATTTTTCTCGAGAGAATTTATCTAGTTGAAGCTGGGATGATTCTGCAACCGTGTTAGGAATCACACGTTGAAAGGTAAGACCTCGTTAGTCCTTAGCTCGCACAAGTTTCTCAACTTCTGAGAGTTGTCGTTCGATTAACGGAAAAACAGATTTTTTAAACAGAAGCTAAAAAAAAAGGCCTGTATAGTGGGGAGCATCCAAAATGAGCTGTTTTATGCGGGAAACCTTAATAAGTTTTCATGGCGGGTATCTCTACCATGAATACATGAATTTGTGACAAATATATTAATATTTTTATGGGCAAAAGAACACATTTCAAGGTAAATATACAGACGCACTCTCTTAGGAAACTTGTGAGACATAACTGTGTTCATAAACAAATGAACTAAAATAAAATCTCATTCAACTCTTTTTATAGTATCAATATAATTAAAATTACAAATATGAATAATTATTTGTTGTGGTGCATTTAATACTCAGAATATTAAAATAACCAACTGAAGTTTTCTTTCAAACCATTGTTGGATGAAAAAGTAAAAACAACCGGAGATGAGTGTGAAAACTATTTTCTGGGTTTGTTGACTGTGCTCTGCAGGTTTTATTCCCTGATGTTTTGGCTACAACTGCGGTAGCCATTATAATAGGTAATGAGGTAGCATACAAAGTATTCTAGTTGCCCTTAAAGTGCATTCATTCAAATGCAAAAACGATAATAATGTTGTTTCAAAAAAATCATTACATCCTTTTTAGTTGAGAATTTCTTTTATTCACTTGAGGAAAATGAAAAGTGTGCGAAACAGGGGGGAGAATGACCATGATGGATACTCAATGAATTCATAATAATTTTATTATAGTTTTGTTTTAATTTTAATATGTGAGTGGTTTTTAATGTTTAAAATATGTTTTTCGTTAACCAGCTGTCGCACCCCTACGAACGACAACCCTTAGAAGTCGAAACTTGTGCGAGCTAAGGACTAACGAGGTCTTACCTTTTAACGTGTGATTCCTAACACGGGTTGGACGATTGCAAGTGAAAATCGATCGCTCAGCCTGCGGCTTGAACCACCATAAAACACGGCGGTGGATTCGAGTGAATGAACAAAGCACCCATGTCGAACCGACCAGTTCGACGGCCATACTTCTATTGATAAATCAATTTTGTGACTTGCTATAAATATGCAGCTGCACATAACATAGTGATTTTATGTGTTGGTTCAGCAGCCAACGAACCCGAAGGCAACAGAAAATGTATTAACTTACCTGTTCAATGGATGGATATGGTCTCTTATTAGTTGGAGTAGCTCCCGTTATGGTGTTACGCCTTTGTAATATTGGTCTAGGTTTGAGAGGATACATTCGACAATTTGCATCCAATGGACTATCTGGGGGCTCACTATCGCTACTGGTAAGCTCTGTTTCGGCATCAGGTATTTCAACAGCATTGTTAACTCTAAAACAAAGCAATGCAACATTTCTCAATTTCGGAGGACAGCAACTTACTTTGGTATTGTGATAGGTGGCAAGTCTATTATTGGCAACAACCTAGGAGATGGAATGTTCTCATTCCATCTGGACGACCAATTCTGACCACTTCGTTTTCTACTGGGTAAGCGGTAGGGCTTCATATATATCTGTCCATAAACCTTTGTATGCCTTGGTCGTTTTTTTAGGGTTAGCACTATCTCATTAGGAGACTCTTGAAGAAGCATCACAACTTTTTTTCTTTGCCAGCCAACAACGGTCTGATAATTTACCTGTGGATTGAGAAATTATTGTTGCAAATTTTCATAATTTGCATCAGTATGTAACAGATGCTATAATTATGATAATTATTTCCTAGAATTTGTTATGAATCATTAACATAACCACAAATATATATTGGTAAAGCATAACAATGTAATTTTTTCACTAAAATATATCATATATGTGATGGAATCGGCCGATGTTTAGTGAAAATCTCACAATAAAGTGTTTCTTGAATAAAAATATTTAAGTGAACTAGTACCTACATTAATAGGCATCAAACTGTTACTTATTAGGTTCAAGTATTCAATCACATCAATGAAGTCGTAATAACTGTTTTTTTTTAACAACAGATTTGCATGAAAATAGTTTGTAGCATTGGCTTTTGCTTTTTAATTATACCAGCCTTTCAAAATCTATTTTTCCGTTAACCAGCTGCTGTCGCTTTCTTACGAAAGACAAGTCAAAGCTTGTATGAGCGAGAGACTAATGAGGCCTCACCTTTTAACGTGCGATTCCAAAATCCTACAAACGGAATCGAACTAATCTTCACCTCTTGATTGATTGAGTGAACAAAAAGAACCACTCATACTAACCAACAAGCTACCGACTGATTGTTACTAACAATTGGTTCACAACCCAAACTTCTACTTTCAGAAAGTCGTCATCACCCTTCAAATCAAAAGTGCGGCTTATGAACCCTCCCATTGATTCACATTGTGACAACTTTCATAAAGTAAAAGTTGATCAAATCATCTAGAGGAACAATTTGTACAGGCTAGTCTCAACTCCCTACACTGTAGGTTAATGGACTGACACCAATCAGAAAACAACTACTCCCCTGGCTAATATCACGAAGGGCGTTGGATTATATCCGACAAGATGTCAGTGTTGATGAAAAAAAAAGTTTGGTGGTTGAATTAGCCATAACTTAGCTGTTCCATGCAAAATGCAGTAACTGATAGCGAAATGAAAAATGGGTTGTATGCACATTTGTACATTCCATGTAACATTAACAGTAACCAACATTTCTATGAAGATAATATTGCCAGAAGGGTAGGAACTGTAGATAGATATATAATATGTAATAATGTAAAGCAAAATAATGAAATTTTGAATAAAAATTGCTTAATGTCTGAACACGAACTCAAACAAATGGTTTCGTAATATATAATGGGCCCTTAAATGCTGTTATTTAATTAGTTAACAGGAGAATACGAAAGCAAGGGACAGTGAAAGAGTGAAATATGGGGAAAAATCAAACATTGCATCAAACATTTGGGTTATTGAACTATTGATTATTAAACTTGATTGAGAAAATCACTTATTCATTAAGAACCTACCCAAAAACATTTAATTGTTGACAGGAATAGTTTGTACAATTTCTATCACCAGAAAATAACAACCTGGTATATATCAGTATTCGATGAATAAAAGTACAAACATCACAATTTTTGTAAAAAAAATCATATGTATCAACTTACTTGTACGATTTCATCACCTTCCTCTATTTTTGAACTACCATGTGCAGGTGAGCCATGTTTGATATCTGCTATTTGATGAATAGCATGATTATTGGGCAAAATAAAAAATCCCAGTTCTTGTTCTTTTTTCTTGAGAGTAGCTAAATCTAAAGACGCTGGTTGCAAAATCATTGGGTCCATCATTTCCTGCAAAATAGGTTGCAACTTCAAAGCAATGAAAACAAAATGATTATTTCTTACTTGAATGATGTAATCAGCAATTTTTGTCAGTTTCTCGCAAATTTTTCTTATGATGCAAACTGGTTTTTCTGAAAATATTCCTCTGTGTGCACTGGTGGCCATTTCGAAACCTAACTGCAGTAGGTTCATTTTGTTATCAATATAATCTTTATCACCAGCGAAAGGTGATCTAGAAGCAACATGAATTTCAGAAATCATCAGTGAATTACAGACGAATAAATACCTGTCGAGCCAATATACAAGTGGTTTTATAGTAGTTATAATGTTATGGACATCTGACATTACTTGAGTCTGTATCACTGAACAGTCATCATCCACCAGTAATAGTTCCTTGTACAAAGAGTTTGCAGCACATGATAGCTTCAAAGCCAAAGTTTGTAAATTCTCTTTATCTAATTCAAAATGCTGAAACCATGCAAAATAATTACACGGATAATTCACAGTTAAATCAATAACACAATACTGCTTACTTATAAGACAGTTGATTATTTTATTGTATAGTTATAATAGTAGATTCATCCAAATAAATTAGGAATTACAGAACTTACAGAATGAAAAAAGTTAAGAGTTATGAATGCGTTACACTTTATTCAGTTATAACTATCAAATTCACAACTTTGAATATGGGCAACTTTCAATTTTTCAACCATGAAATAAAAATGTTTAGATAAAAATTCAAGTTTGTAATTTTAGGAATGGGGTGGAAGGATAATGCTTTTAGTTGAGACAACTTTGTTACAGCAAGAGAAATAACGATAGTAATTCACCGAGTCAGAATTGAGGAGCAATTTATCAAATATATTTAAAATGAAAACAAAGATCGTAATTTATTTAGTGTCTGAATTCACATCTGATTTTTATGAACTCCTTAGTTGATAATTTTCATTTTAATTTTTTCCTAATTCATAATTTTTAGTTGAATATATAAATCGTCAAAAAAGTAGCTGTTTGATAATGGTGGTGCGATCTACACAATGGATGGTACCGCCTTTGCGGTACCATTTATTGTTCGTAAAAAACACCATCCCATTAGAAATAAGTTGATGATGATGTGGTGTGGGATGGTGTTTTTTACAAACGGATGATACTGCTATGGGTCGTCTTTCATATCCATGACAAACAATTATTAATGATTTTCATTATTGATGTATCACTGATCAAGCAAGTTTCATTAATCGTGTGTAACTGTTCCCATTAGTTGAATAGAACTGGTCAATACTTGATGAAAATCCATATTAAAACCCTCATTAATACAGTTTATTGTAAGGGTTTCACTATAAAGGGTTTTACAAAAACCTTGACACGTGTTTCGCTATACAATAGCTTTCTCAAGCGTGAAAATCATGCACTGAACTGTATTAATGGGTTCTCATTAGTACATAATTAGACAAGCATTAGTCTGAAAATGAAATGATTTTGTTTAGTTCAATAATTTTTTTTATAGGTTTCTATTTTTATTGAGTCAATTTGATTAGACTTTATAAATAGGTATGTAATATGTCGAACTCCTTCTGTATTAAATTCTTTTTCAATTTATTATAAGCCTTTACTGAATGATTGGAATGAGATCAGAAACAAGTCACAATTTTCATTAACATCTACTACTATTCAACAAAATCTTTCATAAAAAGAAATGAACAGCCAATATATAGGTATATCGGTCTTCAAAATATTGGTAGGGGTTATTTATTGGTATCAGGTGAAATTCTTTTATTGCTCAATCTCTATCAACTAGTTACTGAAATCCCCTTGTTGATACTGTGGAACAGTTATTATGCTTGACAAAATTCTTTGTTATTTAGATGTTTCAACAACTAGTTTTTTGTTTATGCTTATAAAATTTGTTTCTTTAATACTTTATACTATAATTCTCAGTAGAAGAGCCAATACATCAGTTACTGACTACATTTATTTCTTCTGCTTTGATTGGCTTGAAAATAAAATTGAAAAAATACTTTTCACTGTTTTTCTTCAATGCTCTCATCAAAAGATGACAGAAATTGTTCAGTTCAATTTTTCTGGGAGGTTGAAACTTTGGATATAAACATAATAATTGATTATTTCATAGAAATGAGGTGTAACTTTTCAACTACTTGGAATGCACCAGTCATGAGTGGCAAGTCATAATACATCATAGGCAGTTGGATAATCAATGTCCAGTGGTAACACTCGTGCACGAGTGTATATATTATAGTATTTACAAATACTTCTCATGATATTTGTGTACAAGTCGATATTGTTTTGTAGTAACAAATGGAAAACAAATTTTCATGACATAAAACATGTGACTTTCAACTTCTGATTGGTGCATGAATCCACCTTCAATTATGAACTAAAAAAATTCTTACAAAATTTCGCAAATGTTCTACAGCTTCTAGTATTATTTCCTGATGACCCAACATTTTGACCCCCAAATGTTCCAGGTCGTCTGCCCTTAAATTCAGTAACTGGTGTCCTGTGACACCATTATTCAGAAATGATGAATTGTATTGTAGTATTACATTGTCCAAACCTTAAACAAATCAATTAAATGATTACGGTTTATTGAGTTAATTGCTGATCATGGTCCATGTTATAGTGTACAAACAGTAAAATTTATGAACAAATCTTACCTTTCAGCCAGTCTGTTACTTGGTCAACAGACCAATCTTTTACATTAACATAAGCCATCTCAATAAATATTCACCATTCGTAACACTTTTATTCAATTTGTTTAATCACAAATTTATTGTCAACATTGTAGTCCATAAATCTAACAAACATAACAAATTACATGACTAATGACATACTACTACATACAGGTCCAGTCTAGTTCAAACAAGATTGACACTATAAAAGTGTCTAGAGACAGCTGCTCCTATGTATGTAGGATTCATCTCATTTTTACCTTAGCACATTATCACATTTTATGTCACTGTATCTTGAATTCATGTTTTCAATAATTAAAGGCCGTTTGATGATTCTGATCAATAAGATATAAACGAAAGATAAGTGGGAAACAATTTTCATAAGTTCCTGTTTCGAATGACGTAACGTCAAAACTGACATCTTATTAGCCCGCCATACACACAGAGGTTTGTCTGAGGCTTTATCCAGCACGGTTTTAGTCTGCCGTCTTTCGCGGATTCGGCATGTGACAAACTTCTTTGTTACTCCACTAACTTGACAAGATATGTCCGCAGACAACTCTGACGTATTTAATCTGTTGCAGACAAAACTGTTAGTTAGTGGCAAAATATTTCAACTTGTCTGCCGACTTTGCCAAAACTGTGGAATTCAGTCTTGATACAAGTTTTTAGTGATGTCTTTCCGGTTGTTGGTGCCATATGTATAGTTGTTGGTGACAAAATGTTTAGCAGAAATACAAATAAGAAAAAAGTTGCATTGTGTTTCGGTATGACTGATATACATCTTCTGACAAATACTTTTTACTCTATGACCACAAAACGCCGAAGCAAATGGGTGAAAAAATGGAACTCTGAGTCATTTGCCTTTATTAAAGCAATTGAGGCAAAACGAACCTCATGATTTTGGAAACTATTGGAGAATGGATAGTGCAACTTTTGAAACATCTATGTGAAAGAAAGATTAACAAAGCAGCACACTGCCATGCGACAACCAATATCTCCAGAGGAACGTTTGGTAGCAACGCTTAGATGTCTTGCAACAAGCAGATCTTATGAAGATCTGAAATACTCCGTTGGAATTTCTGCTCAAGCACTGGGCTACATAATACCACAGACATGTTCCGTCATTCCGGTTCACACCAGGATACACTTTTTTGCAATATTGAATTAAAGTTTCATAACTCTTATTCTTTAAATTTTTGTTGACATGGTCATTTGACTTTATTTTCCATAAAGCTGGATGATTTTTATACATTTCTATCAACTCTGTTAAAAACTCTTTGCCTATGAAACGACTGTCTATGCTTTCCTCCATATTTTCACATAAGAATTTAAGCCCTTTTGCTCAACCCGTCACAGAAAAAACTGTTGATAGGTTCGTTCAAACCTTGAGTCACCAACAGATTTCCAACAGCAATCGTCGTCAACGCGCATGTCTGTCAAATATTGGTTTCTGATTAATTTGAAATTTCTGATTGGAACAGCTGATAGTTCAACTGAAGTTTGGCATGGAATTAAAACATTACCTTAAATAAATCTAATCAAGTGTATTTCTGGAGAGTAAAAGAAGGTTGCAGTATTTTATATCTCTATTCCATTTACTAATCAACATGGAACTGGGAGGTAACTAGGTCACCGCAATAATTAATTTGTGTAATTGAAGATGTTCATATTTTAGGTTCACTTAAAGAATTCCTAATTTTTCCTGCGCCAACAAATATATAATTTATTTTATAACAATTTTTGCAGGTTATGTTGTTTGCAAGTTGTATGAACATAAAACAAAAACAGTAATACGGAATACGCATGCGTCAGATTAATGGTTAGAAGATAGTCCTCAAACCATTCTGATAGATTTTGAACAGGTTTGAATCTTGATGGAACAGAAAACTAATAGTTTACTAATGGTTTGAAATTCACGTTGGAACGCAATCACATTACTGCGCAGAATCTTGACCACACAGATTTGTCGACAGACTAGGTTTGTTCTGGTTCTGCGAAATTCAGGTTCTAGGACGCCAGGATTATGCGCAGTTGATATAGAGCGTTCTGGTTTATTGAGGATAATTTCGGACTGATGAATCCTCTGTTCTGGTTTTGACTGCGAAATGATCCTAAACTGTTTTGAACCGTCCCGAATCGTTCTTTCTCTTGAGGCTGAACTTTTGAGAACTGTTCCCGTTGCTCATGCGCATTCATGTGGAAATTTGTTTGGGCTATTTGCTAGGATGTTTTTTTATTTATTTGATTTGAATAATTGATGATTGAGGGTAGATAACATTTGAGGTGACTATTGGGATACGCTACATAACAAAATGGACATGATTAATAGTATTTTCTCGTCTTCATCTCTTCATATATACGATAGGTGGCACAGTGGTCTCCTCAAAAGCGTTCTGGTTCAAACAAGTGTCCTACTGAAACCGTGCTGGATAGTCTTTAGACAAACCTCTGTATGTATGGCGGGCTATTGTTAATTTCATCATTTGTTAAGATTTTTTTTATGAATTGAAATTTATTGAACTCGGCTTATTGAAATGAAACACTTTTCCCACACACATTTTTCATCGTGTTTCAATAGATTTATTATACTTCAGAGTAGTATTTCAGAATATCGATTTTGATTTTGTATTATTTATTTCTTGCATGGGACGCTTTAGAAATATTTTTGAAAACTTTTGAACTTCATTTCAAAGAAAGACATCATTATTTGGATACATGTCCGTCATATCTTTGCATTTTTTCGAAAACCGAAAACACACATCACACTGGCTCTTCGTGAAGAGAGCAAAGATATGCGCTTTGTATATAGACTATACGAGTATACAAAGGGTTAGTCTATATACAAAGATAGGCGCCATTCACACCAAATGATCTTATTCTCAATTTGTTCAAAATTGTCAGAGATCTTTTAACATAGTCTAAATATTAATTTACCTTTTAAGTAATAGATAGCGCTACATGTGTTAATTTTTAATGACATTTTTCCTTACCTGTTTAGAGATGCTAAGACATACCTACTATTATTGCATCCGTGATCTATAGATCAGGTCCTTCAAAATTTAGTCTATTCGCGGCACGTACCAATTAGCAGCAGTCAGGTCTGTCGAAGTTGTTCTGAGCTACGTTTCCCATCGCTAGAATATAATTTTATTCTGATCGATCGTTTGTACGTTTCATACTTATGTGTGAGTGATCTGGGACTGTCGTCAAAATTTGACAGTCTCGGACTCAACATAATGCTGATGACAACAATTTGCTTGGCGAATTGCACGTCGAGGATTATCTTGAAGTTTTGGCATATGTGGACAGTTGGACAGTGTTGTTATTAGAATCATTCCTCGACAAAGCTTCCAATTCTACCTTTCAGATTTGTTATAACAGATGCAAACCTTATATTTTCAATTCTAACGTGACTTGTTACGGTTTTACAAAGTAAGCCATGAAATTTAAATGTAGGAAAAACTTTGAACGCGTGTAGATGTTTACCTATAATTCAATTGACATGATTTCAGCTTAAGTGCAAAAAAGTATTCCTTCGAACTTCGATATTAAGAATATTGAAATACCATCCATTATATATAATTATTTAAGCTTTAGCTACTATAGAAGTATTTTGTTGGGCTAAAAGACCGCCGTATTATAAAATTATTTCTTGCAGATCTTCAGCGCGGAACATGCACTTAGTGATGATGGATATCACCAGAATCTTCTTTGGAGAAGTTACTAGCACAGGACACGTGGCCATAGTCGACTAGCGCGAGAAGTACCTAAGAGAATTCAACGAAAACAAAATATTTCAATTCATTTAAAAAAAATTCAAATAAATTTTTATTTTTGGTGTATTCGGTGTTGACAACTATAGTTCGAATAGGCTAGGTTAACAATTTCCTCGAGCCAAGTAGAGTGATTCGTGGATATTCGCAGTTCTGTATTCAAATAGATAAATTAATGTGCGAAAAATATATAGTCGAAGACGGGTTCGAACTGGAGAATAATTGGTCGAGAACGTGCACATTATCACTGCGCCAATTCAGTTAATCTTATTATTACTTTTCAAATTTCTTTGAATAAAAACGAATCTACTTATCAATTTGTTAAGTAGGAGTGATGCCATCTCCACTTACGATGACGCTATCTATGAGATCGACAGACGACTCAATCCACTAATATTGAAGATGAACTTTCAACATCGATCGCCGAACGAAATTGGACCTCTATCTTTCAATACAGCTTTCTATGCGAAGCAAATAGATGCAACCAGAGAACTCAAAGATCATTCGTTTCTACCTGCTATAGGACTCATCAGTGGTGTTAGGGTGAAGGAAAAGCCTGGAATGTACCCTACTTACCAACAACCAACACCAGGAGGCGCTTTTTCGACCCGTCATAACCTTAATCATAACCTTAAGTTCTTTTTTATGTTCCTCTATGCATATATTTTGAACGTTCTTTATTAGACATTTTTTTTATGGAGGACTCAATATTTCATATTGTTTTTTGGGTTTATAACCTTACACAATCTGGAAAAAATAAAAGTTGATTCAATAAAGAATCTGCTGAAGTGTAGTAAGGGCAAACTAAAAAGTTCACACCGAAAAGTTACTGCGTACTTCGGTTAGGTTATGTTGGGTCTAAAGTGAGTGCGTCTATTCGACCCTCCACCGCAACCCGTAAGAGTTTATTGTGGCTCACACCTATTCACATTCGACCAAATAAACCCAGCTTCTTAACGAAGCCGATTAGTTTATATAGTGAGTGGTCTTTCAGGTCAGATGATGAGAGTACGGCTCTACCGAACTCTAATAAAAACTTGATTCGGTCGCCAGCGGGGTAGGCACAGAGGCGACACACACTGTCTTCCGACAGTGATGATTAAATGACCGTGACCTCTAAGAAGGCGTTAGACATCGTAGTTCATCCCTACTGTAGTCCAACAACTGTTTGGTATTAAGCTTCGAAGGGTGAATAAACACCTTGGAGTGAGCCAATATTGAAAGATTCTGACAGAAGTCCATAAATCTTCTTGCCATCCAGGTGTTCAATCTTTGTTTGGCAAAGCCTAAAGCGATGCCAATGACAGGTTTCGGTGCGATGAAGCTGCTTGCAGCAGCCTCATTTGCAAGGGAGTAAGCAGCCTCATTGCATTCCAGGTCAGTATGGCCAGGAATCCAGACCAGAGACAATCTGTTAAGTCTTTTTATCGAGGAGAGTCGTTTTTGGCAATTTGCTACCAATTTAAACGTTGCTCGGTAGGAGCCAAGAGCTTCCAACGCCGCTTGACTGTCCGAGAATATTTTTTTGACTTGTGTATGAGGTTGGCTTCTTCCAATCCCTCTGCACACAATTCAATAGCGTAAATTTCCGCTTGAAATACAGTCGCATAGGTTCCTAGGTAGGTGATATCTCTGTCCTGGGTCTGGGACTAAAAACACCTGCACCAGAACCGGAAGGTGTTTTTGATCCATCTGTGAACCAACAACTATCTGCTCTTAATATTTCCTTCTCCCGGAGGATATAGTCCTCTGCTGGCAGTTCGTAGTTGACAGTTGGAGGCATAAAGTCAGAGGTCATTTTCAGAATGCTGTGACTTCCAGTGTGAACTAACAGTCTGTTGCACTCTGCATTAAATTGATTTGTGCAGTTGGCAATGTGCACAAGTCTGTATGCAGTCCTCTCTCTCCAGGAAAATGTGGAGAAGAGGTAGATCTAGAAGGATCTCCATGGCCGATGATGGTGTGGTACTGATGGCATCACTGATAGCCAGGCAAGCTTGTCTCTGTAAGCCAGAGAGCTTCGCCTGTACCGTTTTCTGTAAAGCCTTATTCGGCCACCAGGCAATTGCACCATAAGTGATCATTGGTCTGACAATCCTCACATAAATCCAATGGATTTGTTTGGGACCTAAACCCCAAGTTTTACTACAAATACTTCGACAGTCTGGCTTTGTGTAAAACTTTTTCCAATCCATCAGAAGCGACCACAGAAGGGGAGATAGCACCCCACCTTGAGGGCAGCCCCTGCCTCTGGTGACCCTGAACCTAATGGCGTCGCCTTGCAGAGTCGTAGTTGCAGTTCTGTTTACCGGCATAGCATAGATCCAGCCAGTTATGGTCGGTTCTATACCTTTCCTAGCCAGAAACGATCCTATATAGATTTAGGTAGGGCATTGTCAAATGCTCCTTCAATATCAAGAAATACAGCAACCTAATGAAAAATACAAATTGAAAAATATCAATTGGAAAAATTAAATATTGATACTTAAGTTTTCTTAAGTGGTTATTGCCGTTTCGGAAAACAATCTTTCTACGTTTTCGAAACCCGAAATCCACTATAAAAATCTTCCCTCAAACTGTACCTAATAGTTTTAATTTCTTTTGACTTGTATTCTCATTTATTTTGACTTATGTCAAATACAAAATTGGCAAATTTACTTGAATTACAATAAAACTGTGTTAGTAAAGTTTTATATAGATTTTTATCAAATATAGGCCCATTAAATTAAATTTAAGAAATGTCAATTGACATATTTCGAAACTGTCCACCGAAAAATTCAACTTAAATAGTGTTCATCGGCAGATTCTTTAAGTGTCAATCGACCGAATTTGAGTGTCAATTGACATATTTAAAAGTGTGAATTGACAGATTGAAAAGTGTCAATTGACCGATTTTTCACCTTCAAATTCGCAAATTTGCTTGAATTCTGTTAACTGCCTATTGATAGATTTCCTGAATTTTTCATTGTGCTGTCGTTTAACGCTACAATAAAAAGATCAAAGCATGCGAGTAACAACGATCTGCTAGAATGTAATCGTTTTTTTTTCGGTACCACCGATCGCTCAATACAACCTTTAACTGGGAAGGTGCGAATCATAACTTTCAATACTACACGAAAGTATGTGCAGGTGAATTGCGATCGCGAACCCAAAGTTACGACAGTGATTTTGTAGTCGGTCATGTGCTGAAGTGCAAAATTCATCCGGATATTTGATGTTACGGCCCATACTGGTACTTATTCAAGGATTTGGAGATGGTGCACCCCGAGGAGAGGATGTCCCCCAATTCTGTAAAGGCGGTACAATCAGATGAGACTAAAAGGTAGATAACAAATCTGTAATATGTACTCATAGGTAACGAGGAAATGAAATGTGAAGGTGATATGTTTCAATTCCGATACTTTCAAAGTGGGACAAAGAAAGGGAAACTGTGTCTTTCGCAAAGTCAATGCCATATACCAGTATTGGTATGTTTGCTCAAATTGGTAAATTAGTTAAATTTATCATCGAAGTATTGGTTTTATTCAAGTTATTTGTTTTGTCAGACTAAACGCTTATGGATAGTTTTTGTAAATTATTGAATATGAAGTGTAGTTGCAATAGATACCTTACCAGTACATGAAAAAAAATATAAATTGTAGTGCATTCCTTGACTTCATCTGGTATTCAGAGATCAAATTTTTCTTTTGAGGAGAACTAAAAATGTAGTAAAGTGCAAAATATTTCCGAGTATCTATTGCATTAGGACTCGTATATACTTCCATTAGACATATTTTTAAAATTTGGTTTTTGAATGTATTGAATATCGACTAGAATTTTATTTCAACTTTCCTGAAAATACTAAAATATATGGATTGATCAACTAAATATCGATTATCATTTTCTGATGACTATTTTGTGAAAAGTAAAGAACTTTTTTATCCATCAAAGTATTTTTTTTAAATAATCGAATATCAGCCGACTTGTTCAGCTACTATACAGTGTCATCCCCAAAGTATGCACCATATTTATTTATTAAGGGTTTTTCGACAAAAAGTTATTCTTGATGAATTCCCTAAAACTGAACATGCACTAACAAAATACAGTAAAACACACGTAATATACGAGGAGCCTTCAAATATTTGATTTTTAGACAAGAGTAAAGTACTCTTATTTTGAAAAATCTCGAGAAATGTTATTTGGAAAAGCCGTTCAGCACCAAAAAATACTTCTAGATTTGAAGTCATGGCCATCTGAGTGAAGTTTTATACATCTTGTATACGACGGTTCATTCAAAGAGCCTGTACTATTACGAATTACATAACTATGGTGTTAACCACGGTTAATTTTTCTGAAGAGTGAAATAATTTTCAAAGTTTTTGGTGCAAAGTTATTTTTATTTTTTATTAACACCGAAAATTACCCAAAATTATACAGTATTGTAACAAGAACTTTATATTTAATTATATCAAATCACAAAACATCAAAATAAAACAGGTATTTTGGAACAAATGTCATAACTTTCAAATTCTTCTTCTTATTCTTCTTCTTAAAACCATAAAAAGCTCAACATCAATCGGAAATATATTCATCAAAAAGTTTATGTACTTTTGCAAAGTGTCAAAATGATGTACTATTTTTACAGGCAATAACTGGCTATGATACGACATCTGCATTTTACAGGAGGGGTAAAATTACAGTTTTCAAAATTTTTGAAAAATAAAATTTAGTTCAATGTGCTGAAATAGTAATTCAACTCGACAAGAAATTATCACTATCGGAATTTGCTTTCTTCTTTCTGTGTATGGAGCTCCTAAAAAAACTACCTGCTTAGATAAGAATAGATATGCATGTTTCGTTAAGTATACCAAAAGTAGAAAACAAGTTCAATTACCTTGTCTTTGTCCAACCTCAGTTGCTGCTCATCAACATTTTTTTTGGGTATATTACCAAGTTCAAGTGTGGCTTGGTTATCAGCTAGATCCTACAGACTGGGGTTCGAAGTTGGTCAACAGTTTATTAGAACCAGTCCAAACTTTACTTCCACCTGTGCCGGAAAAACTGCTGATCACAATTTTTTCCAACTGAAAAAATGGGTGCAGAGCTAAATGTGGTTGGAAAAAAGCCGAACTGTTTTGTTTTCTGGCATGTACACATTGTCAAGGCCGGTCGTGCTCTAATATTGACTCACCAACACTGGAATAGGCCTACTGGGAAAACCACGTAAAAAAAGCGCACTACCTCATAGGTGGCATGGAAACATGTGCATACTATGACGATTGCAACTTTTTGAATCGTTATATCTCGTAGGAAAAAAGTATTGATATATTTTTTGTAGATAATTATGATATTTTGATCAACAATTTTTGTCTGAAGTATTTTTATGATGAAACTTACCGTTTTGCTGAAAATCACAAAAAACTCATTTCTTTGACCTTGAATACAATTTTTTCCATACAAGGGAAAGATGGGAATCTTTCAAATTTTACTACTTTGCACTGACGAGTGGCCAAATAGCCCGAAACCAATCTGCAAGTTTGTTCCAATAATTAAAAGTCGATTTCGGCAGTTGTATCGCCAACAGCATGTGCAGAAATTACTTCTTTGAAAAATCCTATTGGATATAATCCAACCATCTTCGTGGTATTGGCCAGGGGAGGAGTAGTTGTTTTCTGATAGGTGTCAGCCCATTAACCTACAGTGTAGGTGAGTTGAGACTGGCCCGAGCGAATTGTTTTTCTAAATTATTTGATTTACTGCAAGTCTTCAAGTATACCCCTTACTATATGTGAAATTTTTTCCTTATACTAGGAAATGAACAATTCGGATATGCGGTTGGTTACCTCGTTCACGGGCAGATAGGGCGATGACGAATATGTTGTTTGTCGTTCGTTTCAACCTTTGATTTTCAATAATGGAAAATGATCAGCTTCGTGTTGATTGATGTACACTACTTTGCACTAACAAATGACCAAATAGCCCAAAACCGGTCTGAAATAATTGAAAATCGATTCCGGCGGTTGTATCACCAACAGCATATGCAGAAATTACATCTGTGAAGAATCCTGCACTGACACCTTTCGGATATAATCCAACGCCCTTCGTGGTATTAGCCAAGGGAGTAGTTGTTTTCTGATAGGTGTCAGTACATTAACCTACAGTGTAGGTGAGTTAGTCTGAACGAATTGGTCTTTTATATAATTTCATAGATCCTTCTTTCATAACCATTTGCGCCTGATCCTCTGTTAGTTTGAAGACCCTTGATTTGTTATCTTAGTCCATTTTTGAATTGTTCTTCAAATGTGTATCTAGGGAGTTACCAGTCTTGCATATATGCTATGTTAATATTCCTTCCTGTTAGTAGTCTTTTTATTTCATCTGATCATTTGCTTTGAATGTGAATGTTTTGTTGGTGTCAGTGTTATACTTGGTTAAGACTTGTTTGAAACGTTTTTGTCATGAATCATGTGGATCGAAAACTACGAACATAAAAAAGTTTTAAACTGTTTAAAAAATTCTGCTAATGCTTGCCACCTTTTAGAGAACAGCCACGATTTCAATATGGACTACGACATATTACATATAGAAAATGAAAGACAAAATTTAAAACTTCTGGAATCTCTGGAAATCGATAAAGGCAAACATTCAAATTTTCTTTCAAATTATCAACAAGAAGTTATTCACTCAGCTTTATTGAACTTGGGTCAACTCGATGCCTTAATTAATCATTTATGTAATTAAGTTTTGGCATGAAATGCCAATAATCACCATATTTATAAATTACCTGTTTATCTAGAAGTAATATTGCTTATAATTGTTCTTTCAAAATCTACCTATTTTTGCTAGAATCAATCGTTTATCTAAAATTATGTTTTGTTATTACCTATTGTAATATAATTTCCAGGTCAACTGATGAAGCTAACCTGTGTCGAAACGCCTCCTGAATAAAATTCATTCTGAGTATTCTATAATCATTATCATGGATAATGTAGTTATTTGCATCAAGTAACAGATCAGTGTATTCATAGTCTCTTATTGAATACCACAGCTTTGGGTGTCCATTGTCTAAAAAAAATATTTAAACCGAAAGATTATGAATTATGCAGTATTGAACACATTTTTCATCTTTCCAACTGACTTACACAAATATTTTGGTCAAAAAGTCAATATTTTTAGGAGGTTGGGGGTGTAAAAAATTATCATGAAACGAATCCAAAATTTGAAAAATACCTTCATAATGTAAAATACTTCGGAAAGATTTTATCTTTGAGTTTATATCTGTGAAGAGTTTTTACTGATGCATTCAATTTTTTCTTCCTTTCTTTGGAAGTTTACCATACTTGCTATATAATGAGGGAGAAGTGGAAAGACGAAATTTTCTGCCTCAAAATGTATTTAAACTAAATCACAATATCCAGAATTTGGCTGAATCTCGTTTATTAAAAAAATATTTAGAGTACTGTTGATGTGAAGTTGAAAACGCAGTACTCTTGAAGATACCGACCACTCTGAATGCAAATCAACAGATGGTATTATTCAGAACTTTCCCCTCATAATTTCAAGGTGTCAGTAAAGTCAGATATCTACATTGGTGTACAAATGGAAAGCTGATTTTAGGTAATTCAATATCCATAGAAAGAATTAATTGTTTGGGTTTTTTCAGTGTCGAATGGATTTGGAATATTAAAGTTGATCACAAATTTTCATTCCAATATTTATATTCGTCAAACGCGAAGTACAATTGAAAGAGTATAGAAACAGTTTGATTCATTATTTGCGATTATAATTAAGGGATATCGAATTGAGAATAGAGGTATAAACCCTAATCTTTCATCGATATCTGTTTCTGCAGAGTGAGTGTAGACTCACAGCACTTAGGCCACGTGTGACCCATTGTACATTCTTCCGAAGAGTTGTCCTCCTAGGTCATCGTCCATCCTGTTCTTTCCAGGAAGCGATTTTACGGTGTGACGCGTAACTTTGACGAGACCGAAAGGATTTTCAATGAACGTTTTCCGAATCGTCCTACCTGTAGAAAATATTTGAGGGAACTTGTATCCAAATTCACAACTACCAGTAGTATACATTACAAAAATCCCCCAGGTCATCTGTCCATTCCGGAAGAACAGCAAGTGCAAATAATTGGTGAGATGGTAGTAAATCCTGAACAGTCTACTTATTCCGTCGCGAATGTTTGTGAGGTGTCTCCTTCTACTGTGTGGAGACGAGGAGAATTTTAAAATGGTACACCAATTAACAAGATGGAGCACCACCACATTACTCCAGACAAGTATCTGTATCTGTAGAGTAGGGAGGGTGAGTGTAAGCCCACGCACTTAGGCCACATGTGACCCATTGTACATTCTTCCGAAGAGTTGTCCTCCTAGGTCATCGTCCATCCTGTTCTTTCCAGGAAGGTGAATGAGTCACTAGGGAACATCTCATTTATATTGGCAGGTGTAGGCCAAGACTCGTCGAACACACACTCTCTTTGGCAACCTTGAGGTTCCTCACGGTGGCCTCCGCGAAAGTTTTGGAAGGTGCAGCGAATGTCGTCGCGCGGCTTCTTCAACCTTCTTGGGGTTTCCTCCGTGGAAGTGCACAAGTGAGGGAGCTTTTCTGCAGGGGCAGTTGGTTCCCTTTATTCAAGACGTAGCTCTTGGCGCCCGCCGCAGGAAGTGCCCTTGCTGTTGGAGGTGATCTACTATTTCCAGCCTCATTCCAAGCGGTACATTGGGGTGGACATTTCTGTTCATCCCCATCCACCGCCTTAGATTGAGGTGGGCACTTCTGTCCAGCCTCGAGATTGGTTTTTGTTGTTTCTATTTTTATGTTGTTTCATTCATGTGTATTCCCACGAGTAGCAAGGGAAGAGTTGGTCACCTCTGGCAGAGCTGCGCATTACCAGAGGTAGGCTGATTGCAATGAGGTTTCGCCCAGTTCCCCAAGGGGATCTTTCGTGACCGCATATCACCCTGTGGCCATTCAGCTGTCTCCACGATTCCTGACACCTTAGCTTGGGTAGGCTGGTCCATGGTGGCATGTTTTGCAAGGGCTTTTGGGGGTTTTAGTTCCCCTCACCCTACTTATTTCTGCCATTGATCAGGAGTCCGGCGACCCCGTCCGCAAGGCCACATTGGCTTACCGAACAGGGCCTCCAATCTCCTGGCTTTTCCCTATCCGCCACCTGGAGACGCGCCCGTTAGGTAGCCCAACCCACGGGTCTTTCATCGATAATTCAGAATGCAAGCTGAATACCTTGGAATTGAATAATTCCCCTTTCTTTACATCAATTTTTTTTCCATGTTAAAGTGAATAGTTTGATTCATGTTGGCACTAGACCCCGAGGTAAAATTTATTATATATATTTGTTCATTATGAGCCATTTTTTAGAATTCTGCTAATGTAATCCATGATAATTCATTTACTGATTCAATTAGTGAACTTTTGTATGATTGATTGATATGTTTAATGATTCTATGTATTTTTAGTCTCGTAATTTAGTCACACCGAATAAACTATTACATGTTAAAACATGTGTTAGGACTTGACAAATTATGGAAATCTCACAAAGAAGTGTTTTAAAAGGTACTCACAATATTAGTGTTCCCAATAGTTGTCTTTTAACTAGTGGTTTATTTTCGTGATATTAGAAGGTGTTTTCAAAATTTGATGGCTAATTGATACCAGAACCCAGAAGCGTTGCATTTATGATCCAATAGCAGAAGTAAAGGCGATTATATAATTCATTCCTTGAGGAAGACTACATTTATCACCAGAAGACTCAATCAACGAATCCTGAGGATAAACGAGACTCCTCAAGGCGGTAAGTTGCAAAACCAAGGTTCGACATCGACCGCCGGCAGATATTCGTCCTCTGACTTTCATTGCAGCTTTCACTACAAAGCAAGTAGTTGAAACAGAGCTCAAAAAAATAAGCATTCATTATCCAACATCTTACAGCGCTGTTTCGACACCCCATAAGTGGTGCTAGGCTGAACCACGACGGTTGATGTCGCAGCTTTACAATGGACCGCCTTGGAGACCCTCATTCATCTTTGATATTCGTGGATTAATTCTTCTGTCGATTCCATGGATGGCGTTTTCGCAAAGGGAGATATAATCTCCTTCACTCACTCCGGCTTGTGCTCTGAGAACAGTTGGTAGCAGAGCGATACATTCAGCGGTCGATATCGAAGCTTGCCTTTGCAAAGATGACCTTCGGAGGCCCCGTTCAACTTTGATACTCGTGGTTCAAGTTTTCTTTGCATCCCATATTGGAATTGATCAATATAATATCGGCCATCGGCTGTCTAAACCCATAGAATCAATAGATATCAGATACCCCTTTAATTTCCATTACATTTATCATTTTGTTATATATACCGGGTGTCCCACATTTTATGTGACAGGCAATATCTGGTTTGTTGAAGGAGATACACAAAAATGTTTCATACAAAAGTTTTAGGAGTTCATGAGAGCTATTATGATAGTGATATAACATTCATTGAGTAATACATTTCGTCACCTTTTTATTTTGTCCGACATTCGATTTCGTCAAGTAAAATTATATTACGAAATATCCAAAACATTCTTTATATTACGACAAATAGTAAATTGATTTATTTTTTTTTTCATCAGAACACAATTAATAAAACAATAAAAAAATTTGTCATACAGGGTACATCGAATTTCCGTTAAATTGTCATAATCATAAATATGTTTTTGTAGTAATTTTTTCCATTCCTTCAAAAAATTGTCTCTCAGGTTTCTGATTTGATCACTCTTTTATTGATGTTTTCGAATATAATGTTTTATTAAGTTTTTGATAACATAAATATACTGAGTGTTCCATTGGAATAAACGTATTTTTTCCCATTACTTCATATGAAAGCAAATATGAAAGAAATCCTTTAGCAAATAATGTTTATTAAAGTCAAAATTGTGAAATTTCAACAATTATTCCAATAAGTAACCTTTTTTCAGAGCTCCCGAATCAACATGGATGTTTTGGAAAATGAGGAGATATGTTGTGGCACTTTTAGCATTTCTTGGTTTCTGTACATCATATGCCCTGAGAGTGAATCTGAGTATTGCAATTGTAGCTATGACAGAATTCAAAAACACTACTCTGGATAACGGTACTGTTATACAGGTAAATACTATAATATATACATTGGGTTTTGTCTGTTTTCGGTTTCGTCGGACTCTTTACAATGCATACAGAATCACGATATAACAAACTCAGCCGACATTTTTCAAACTGATTTTTCCTAAAAATATCCGGTTTTCCTATTATACATGACGTGAGGTCAGCCTAATTATTTTCAATTGGATGAAAACTGTGAAAGATATTTCCAAACTCTTTTGTCATAAACACCGTAGAAGATTATGTCAGAATAGGAGTGACTATCTGCTATCAGAGACACCTGTGGTTTCAATGTTGATATAATAATAATAAAATACCTTTTCAATACAAACCATGAAATTATAAAACAAAAACAAAAATTAATTGGCGCTCCGGGGCGACTTCATTGATTCCAGTGGCGAATTTAATTTTTCAGCTGCAGGAAAATCCGGAAAAACCTGCAGCACCACATCATCTGAAGTTCTTGATTTGCCAATGTCCTCTTGAACTGGTGCCTCAACTGGTGCCTCAGCTATACTTATTTTCTCATAATAGTCAGTTAGTTTGGCGCATGGTTGGCAATACAGTCGATCATCACCTGTTAAAAGTTCCATTTTCAGATGATTCAACAATAAGCTTTGCACGGACTGGTTTCTTTTTAATTATAATATATCATAACCAAATATGTCCATATAATTACCTAAAATAAGATATCAGGAGTATATTTACCTTTCAGTTAGGCCCATTATCTGACTTTCCTTTGAGTATTATCAGTTCAGATTTATTCGATTTATTAGTCCAACTAAATGGAGGGATCTCGTATTCTCATTTGTTTCAATAAATAAAATAGTCTGTAACAGGAATGACGGAGTTCTAACCACCTTCCTAACGAAATAGCCAACAGTACTTTCAGTACTTTTATTTTACTAGTAGAACAGTACAATATCTTGATTTATCATTAGATGGAGAATAAGAACATCTAATTCTTGTAACAGGGCGTGATATGATATTTACTTTATCCTGGATCAATTGACACTATCGAAAATTGCCACATGCTGCAGTCTGACATTGACACCTTCTCCTTATGGCCTGCTAAAAATGGATTGCCGCTCAATGCCGGCAAGTGTCAATTTATAACATTTTCGCATAATTCAGCTACTCTGTTTAAAAATCTGTTTAAAATCTGTTTTTCCGTTAATTAGCTGTCGCTCCCATACGAACGACAACTCTCAGAACTTGAGAAACTTGTGTGAGCTAAGGACTAACGAGGTCTTACCTTTTAACGTGTGATTCCTAACTTTATTGATATTATTTGAACAGAGTTGATAACTTTACTGACCCGAGAGTGGTTTTTGATTGCAAGCTCTCCTTTTAATCCCACCCTAGTATCTAGAGGTCTAAGCCGATTAGGATTCATAGTACACTATACGTAACAATACGTAACACTACAGTATTGTCTCTATATTCAACTCTATCATCCTTTTGAATTATGCTTCTCCTATTTGGTTACCTTTCTGTCAGGTGCATATTGATAAAATCGAGGCTAAGCAGAATAAGTTTCTAAGGTACAGCGCCTAAAAACTTTATATCCCTAGAGAACAATGGACTTATTATGAAATGAAAGTTAAGATAAAGGTGAGAATCCTCGAATTGTACCTTAATTAATTTGTGTGTTATTTGAAAATGACACAAAATATAATACTTGATACTTTTGATTTAAAACAATCCGATCTGTGTCAACAATTTGAACTAAACTGAAGAGTCTTCAATGTATCACATTTTTTATTTGCATTTTTGATTCATAGGGGTGCAGTCTTTATATACGGTCTTTAATATAAATAGAGTATGACTCACTTTCATAGTATTACTTATACAGTGCATTTCTTTAATGTTCCCCCCCTTTTATTTTTTGAACGGGTCAACTCAAAAAATTGAAATTTGGGATTATGAAATTAATACATGAATAATTTATTTTGAAGTGGTATTGACAGATGAAACTTCCAAGATGGCGACTGGGTGACATCTGGGAAAAAAATATAATGGAAAAGGGGGTCTTGTGAACACTTTTTTTTGAAGCTTCACAACCCTAGAATATAATGTCAATATCTTCGATTACTACAAAATGGCTGAACTTTTAATAATTGCCTGAATACATTGACATTTAACTACATTGCCGAACATTTTCGAAGATAGTAACGTCAATATCTCTACAAATATTTATTATTCTCTGCCGTATATCCAATACTGAAGCAGGTTCAGTTTCGTATACTTTTTGCTTCAAATAGCCCTATAAAAAAGTCCAAAGGTGTCAAATCTGGCGAGCGGGCTGGCCATTCTGTAGGACCTCGACGGCCAATCCGACGACCAGGAAAAGTAGTATCCAAATAGTTTCTTACTTGTCTAGAGTAATGTGGTGGTGCTCCATCTTGTTAATTGGTGTACCATTTTAAAATACTCCTCGTCTCCACACAGTAGAAGGAGACACCTCACAAACATTCGCGACGGAATAAGTAGACTGTTCAGGATTTACTACCATCTCACCAATTATTTGCACTTGCTGTTCTTCCGGAATGGACAGATGACCCGGGGGATTTTTGTAATGTATACTACTGGTAGTTGTGAATTTGGATACAAGTTCCCTCAAATATTTTCAACAGGTAGGACGATTCGGAAAACGTTCATTGAAAATCCTTTCGGTCTCGTGAAAGTTACGCGTCGCACCGTAAAATCGATTCAATTTTTTTGGTACCTGTGGCGTGGTACCTTTCTACTAGTAAAACCGAAAACTAAATGAGAATATTCTAACTGAACAATGATGCTCATTGTCGTACTGACATTTTTGTCGTTTTCATGAATAAAAAATGACTTAAAACCTTATCGGGTTGTTGGAATTGCGATATGGCATATAAAAAGGAATATTTCTAGAAATATCGATATCAATGTGTTTGTCTTCAGGAAATTATTCAATGTTCCGCCATTTTGTAGTAGGTAAAGATATTGACTTCATATATCTGATTGGGGGTTATTTAGCAGCTCGAATTGGTGGCAAGCGTGTTTTTGGAACCGGCATAGCAGTCACTGCCGTTTTGACGCTCGTGACTCCATGGGTGGCGCAAACTAACTTTTATCTATTGATTGTTGTGAGGATCATAGAAGGTATTTTTGAGGTGAGCAGAACATTTGAGAAAAGCAGAAACATTTTGTTGAAAATATAAGGGCACATTTTCTAGCAAACACTCAAGTAAAAACTAATACTATATTTAAATTAGGGACACTAAATCCATATTAATTGGTATCTTGATACCTAGCTTGTGTTAAGAACTTTCATTATCAGCATTTTTCCAAAGCTTGTGCCGGTCACGGGACCTTTTTCCAAAGCTCTAGTACTACGGAGGGGCGCTGCCATTAACAACCATTGCCCACTCCCCATGCTTGAGCTGTTCGATTATTGTGTCCGAGAATCACGTGCCCTAAGTAGACGCAATGAGCCAGGAATGACAACCTTTTGAGGCACGCTGATATGATTTTCAGATTCAAAAGTAGAGAGAGCAATCATTTTATACCAAACACTCTAATCAGAATAACCACCTCAACAGAAAGGCCTGAATAGAATCTGCTAAGTTCGGAGAGAAAAATCCCGATATATAATCCGTTTTTCATTTCTCTTTCGGCTAAAACTGGTATTCGTCTCATCTGGAGCTGTAAACTCCACGACGAATATTGTCTTACTCTGGTGGTCGAGAATGACTATCATCAGACTGATTAGTTTGTAAGAGCCTGACGATGGGGAATGTTTACAAAAATACAGACAAAACACCGAAACTTTTTGATTTTATACTTGCTGACAGGACATTTTGTTTTTGACACAGACAGTTGCCTGTGACACAGAGTCTTCAAAATGTTCCTTATTTTGATAACTCAAGTTTTGTTGTGGTTTTGTCCGTTTGGTGGAAATCCGCCTTGATAGAGACACCAGGCCAAATGCCAGCGTAATGTTGAATATAAAATGGGATCTATATAATTAATATATCTGAGCTTCAGCATTCCAGTAGTAGGATCAAATACCCTTAACCAAAACAAGTTTTAGCCTGTAACATCCAAAGCAATGCTCTATACCGAATTGTAATATGAATATAAATATTTTTCGTTTCACGGAAAATCTCATAATGTGCCCTTAATCTCAATTTGCTAATTGCATTGTACTAATTGCAATCCCAGTTAATTCAGGAATTACCATTCACATTGGTTTATTACCAACCAGGTGACACGTTACTTTTTATCATTCTTGGTAATGATCTGTTAGAATATATTAGGCAGACGATTTTCAAATATTCTGACCTAGAAACTCAAATCTGGAAACTCAAATCAAATATGTTACTTTTGAAGCTGATATGAAAATTTGTTTAAATGTGTTCATTAATATTCCCTGTTGCATAGTCGTAGATAAAATAGCGTTCCGATTACTAAAAAGACTTACAGGGTTTACTATAAGTGAAAAAGTGAAACTAGAGAAAGCCGAAGTTGTGATACAAACAGTCGTAATATAAAAGAAATCAAATGTGAGGAAACTTGAATCTTATGGATTAATACAAATTTAAAAACTCTCCAAATATATTGAGTCGTCGATTAAAAAAATGATCGAGAGTTGATGAAAATACTGAAAAGTATCTTGAAATTTGTCAGTAGCAAGACCGAACGACATACTCTTATATAGGGTACACCTACAGCCGTATGGAATGGAAATAATATGGAGTTTTTCCAACACTTCCGGTTATACCGGAAGTTGGTACCAACTTCCCCGATTCAAATATATACACCCTGTATATTTTTACATTTTGGAATACCTGGCATAAGTGAGGTCATGTTATACACATAATACATGTAATACTGTACCCTGTATTATATTCAGTCTGTTTGCTATAAATCTAGATTCAAACAACTTTTCGAATTATCTGCATCGAAAAATATGTTTTATATTACACAAAAAAACTTCTACATCACTCAACCGATCGTGATGAAACTTGACATGTATAAGTAACTTGCCACTAGATGGCGCTGTAGAACAATTTTTTGAAGGCACTGTTCTATTACGCTGCGCACGCCTTAGTTCGTTGATTCTGATTTTGTCAAAATTCAAGCAAGTGATTTAATTTGATACTCATTTTCGGTTATAATATATACTCATTCGGACTCTGTTTTACAGGAACGGTCGGTATAATATGGTGCATTTTATGGATGGTGATAGTCACGGACTCTCCTGAGGAAGATTCCAAAATAAGCGAATACGAACTGAATTTTATCACTTCAGCACTCAATGAAGAAAGCAAATCAAACAAGAAAGCCAACTCAAAAATACCTTGGCGCTCGTTTGCAACCTCTATGCCTGTTTGGGCAATTACCGTTTCTCATTTTAGTGAAAATTGGGGATTTTACACACTTCTGACTCAACTGCCGAAATTCATGAAAGGTAATTATTCGAATAACTGGTAGTTATAGAATAAGTTACAGAAATAATACTTTATTAAAAATGTTTTTACTATAGTTTGGAACTTGATCAATATTACAAAAGCACTTGAGTTGATAACAATACCAAAAAAATTATTCACTTCACACGGATACAGATATTGTGGCGTGAAAATTTGTTTGAGAAATAACTTGATTTCAATCACATCAGAAGTATTGGACAAAGGAAAACGAAAACCAATTCAGTAAATAATCGAGCCTGGATTAAATTTATTCTTCTTCTTATGGGTTCTTTAGAAATGGCTGATACTCTTATTATTCAATGGCTTCATGTAATGTCACAAAAATACAACTCCTAATACTTGCATAATTATACTTCAAATGATACACCTTCAGACCCCAGTGATCCAACTATTTCATTAGGTCACTTGGTCTTGTATTTCATACCTTTGTTGTGAATATGCCCTAAAGAAAATAACGCCAGCCGCCACTGGTAGCCATAAACCAATCGTGACGTAGCTAAGAGTGCGCGAACTTACTATGTTCGCTGCCGTTCTAGATGCAGCGAGAATAATGCTACCAATTTCGAAGGAATTCCGGCGAAATTTTCTAGCGCATTCGATTACGATATATGAATGCTAGCCACGAACTTATAGAGAGACAAGTGGAAGTTACAGTGCGGTACGCTAAGCGATCTAGTAAGGCGATAGTCATTCGAATAATAGTTGAAGTTTTAGTTGAAGTGTTTATTATATTTAAAGTGAAATAAAGTTAAGTTTGATTATTCAGTGTAGTCAATTATTGGTCAACCAACGCCACGGGGAAAAACGGAACAACTTCAAACTGTTTGGAAATAGTCGCAACTATACAGGGTATAACTAAATAAGTGTAAAACATTTAAGGAGGTGATTCCTCATCGAAAAAAAGATAGGATATTTCATATAAAGAAATTTCATTAGAGCATCCCTTGTTAAGATACAGTAGGTAGACATATTGAACATTTACTATGATTTCTACATGTTGTGTGTTTTGTTATTAATGAAATAGTTTTGTTTATTACCCTTTAATCGTTTAATGCAGGTACTAACTACAAAATAACAATAAATCCAGTTCGCATTTATGACGATGTATCTCTGTAGTTGCTCGTAAAGTAATTTTTTGCTGTGAACTGGTTTATTTTGGGCAAAAAACCCAAGAGACATTTTTTGTTTAGAATGAAACAGGCTATTGGAAATACATTTTTAAATGGTAAACATATAAAAAGGCAAAAAGTTACATTGGAAACAAATTTTAGGGGTTGCGTTTCCACCCTTTACAACCATGGGGTAAACCAAATAAATTACTGGCTAAGTGTCTTTTTGGTAATACAAAAAGTCAGGTTAATTTCAATATTGTAACTTTTTCAGTGCTTGTGAAAAAATTTGTTATACAAATTTTATTTACCCCCTTTGAGGGGCTGTATCTCAACAAGGGATGCTCAAATGAAGTTTCTTTATATGGAAGATCTTATATTTTTTTCAATGAGGAATCACTTCCTTAAATGTTTTACACTTATTCAGTTAGACCCTGTATACTAATTTGAAAGTGAAAGTTTGTGAGGATGGATTTATGTATGTATGTGGCTTTGTCACGCCTAAACGACTGAACGGATTCAGATGAATATATAAATACAACTTATACAACAGTATAACATACAGTATAACATTTCTTTAATGCCCCCCTTTTATTTTTTAAACGGGTCAACTCACCAAATTGAAATTTGGGATAATGAAATTAATGTATGAATACTTTATTTTGAAGTGAAATTGACAGATGAAAGTTTGAAGATGGCGACTGGGCGCCATCTTGGAAAAAAAATTGAATGGAAAGGGGGATCTTGTGACACATCTTTTTGAAGCTCCTAACAAATGCTTCACAACCCTGGATTATAATGTCAATATCTTCAACTACTATAAAATGGTGGAACTTTTAATAATTGTCAGAATACACTGACAATTAACTACATGATATGAGGTAATGAACTTGAGGTCGGTTCAGAAGATGCTCGAAATGGTTGCCTTGAACTTCTTGACATATGAACAGCCTAGCCGATATTTCACGCCGAACATTTTCGAACACAGTAACGTCAATATCTCTATAAATATTTATTATTATCTGGCGTATATCCAATATTGAAGCAGGTTCAGTTTCGTACACCTTTCGCTTCAAATAGCCCCATAAAAAAGTTCAAAGGTGTCAAATCTGGTGAGGTGGCTGGCCATTCTGTTGGACCTCGACAGCCTATCCAACGACCGGAAAAAGTGGTATCCAAATAGTTTCTTACTTGTCTGGAGTAATGTAGTAGTGCTCCATCTTGTTGGAATACAATATCCATATCGAATTCATTAGGATTCGTTCCGACGATTTCAGTGATGAGTGGGTCAACAGTAGTTTTCAGCATATTCAAATTTTGATCAATAAATTCACAATATGCCGTCCTAATACAATATGCCGTTTGAAAAAAATGTGCATTCGTTACTGAAACAAGTATTGTGGTTTCCGTCATGATTTCGCAGAATTCTGTTTTCCGATGAGGAAACACCTCCTTAAATGTTTTACACTTATTCAGTTACACCATGTATTGGCAGGCATCATCAATTAATTTCATATTAAAATTCTTTGAATTGTATGGAAATATACATGAAACAAAATCACTTTTCTTTTACGCTGGACTTGTAACGAAGTTGACACGATCGGGAAATAATTGAATTAGTTCAGATCATCCTCTGATGGTGATTCTTAGTCCTTTGACTCCGAATGATTCCTGGAGATATCCATCACAAAAATTGCAGTAGGGGTTTCCTTTTATTATAATTATTTGGTTATTCGGAAACTCACTATGGTAATATTTAAATAAATATAAACTCGAAAGGAAAAACGATATTATTTCGTTGTCCAAGTCCAAGTTGATCTCTTTGTTTTCGGAAAGTGGGTATTGGCAATCCCTTTTCAGAATATCAGTTTACAGATTATTACTTCAAACATAATTCACTTCTATCAGCTCTCTCTTTATAGCCTGGATTTTTGGCTAATTGAACTAATCAGAACTGTCACTCAGTTGTTTCTTGCTTAGGTTAGGTCTAAAGTAAGTGGGTCTATTCGACCCTCCACCGCAAACCGCAAGGGTTTATTGTGGCTTACTCACACTCTACCAAATAAACTCAGCTTCTCAACGACGCCGATTAGTTTGTATGGTGAGTGGTCTTTCAGGTCAGATGGTAAGAGTACGGCTCTGCCGAACTCTAAAAACCTGATTCGGTTCCCAGCGGGGCAGGCACAAAGTATATGCTCTGCTATTTCATCGTTAATGGGGTAGTCGGATAGTCAAGGTACAAGATTCCCACCTTGATACCCGCGACAACCTTCCCATATGAGGGCTTTTGCACGTCAGCTACACCTGACGATGCCTTAGATTCAACCGTGCAGGGCTTTTTCGCCTCTGGTTTTGGTGAATCATCACTTCTTCCACCTGAGACAGATTCTGCGTACGCCGCTCAAGAATTTGGTGAAAGGCGGTTTCATAAGGTACCCCGCTCTTGCGACGACGACTCAGTCGTTTCCTGGCTGCAGCACCAAATTTTTTTTTAGGTTCAGTTGTTTGTTGGATCAGTAGTTGGAGAGTTGAGAAGCTCTCGCTCCTGATCTGAATTTACAGGGAGATCAGTTGGAGTCGTAAGATCGACATCCATCTCCTCTGTAGACTCAGCGTCAGAAAGAATTTTTAAGTTTACTCTGTCCATAAAAGTCCCACGAGTAGCTAGGGAAGGAAGGTCAATCACGACAGGGTTCCGCATTACCGTGACAAGGCGATGCTACGACAAGAGGGCGCCCGGTATCTCGAAGGTTCCGTAGAGACAGCTGATAGGCTCAGTGTCATTCATCCTCTCGGCACGGATACACACACCTTTGGATTACGCTATCGTGGCTACGTGGAAGCAGGCATCCGATGGTCGGTCCTTCAACCCCCACATCCCAAGCCAATGCACTCGCCAAAAACAGCATGCACAGTGGTTCAGGCAGTGAAAGATGAACAAGGACAGCCAACCCGCCTGTCACTTGTTTGCTTAGTCAGAGTTTGAATATTCCACTAACACTGGACGGGATTCATGCTTTTTGTAAACCAGTTTGAAGCTCAGGGTGTCTTTTACGTATTTCAAAACCTTTTTGAGTCCGTACCAAGTTCATTCAAAGTTTCTCCGGCTACTACACTGAGGTCTCAATTTGCCCACTTCTCAGTTAGTAACACCCTCGTTCCCTGTGGACCCACAGTTGATACTACGGAGTCAAAGTGTGTCACTACCTGCGGAGTAGGCAGATTGAGACCTCAGTAAAGTACCTTCTTGAAAATGTTGAACAACTGAAAACACCAGACGCGGCTCAACCCTGACTTCAGATCATCAGACTGTTGACTGCGGAAACCTTTCCGAATACACACACGTTCTTGAACCTGAGTATTCCATGGTGGAAGTGAACCTGAGTATTCAATGGTGGAAGTATACGATTTACTGATGACCTTATCGTATATTCAACAAAAGTTACTCGAACTCAAAAACTATATAGTATCTAAAGATGATTTTTGTTGAAATTAGGGGTTCTGGATATGAAGCTCAATGCAGCAGGTTTCTTATCTGCCCTTCCTTACCTCGCCATGGCTATAATGACCCAATTTTCCGGCCATCTTGCGGATTGGTTTCTAGTGAAAGGAATCCTCACAACTACGCAGGTCAGAAGAACTTTCAACTGCAGTGGATTCGTTGCACAAACCGTTTTCATGATGACTGCGGCATATTGGTTGCATCCAGTTGGTACCACGTTCTGCCTTACTATGGCTGTTGGCCTTGGAGCCTTTGCTTGGGCTGGTTTCAGGTGAGTTTCTCTTTTTCATTCGATGATTCATGTTCAAGAGTGAATTGTTTTTCATTTATTCTAATGGCCAAACAGCAACTCAATGGTTTATTGAACCATTCTAAAGTAAACTTGAGATATGATTCAATAAACCGAAACCGGTTGTAACAAATAATCTTAGTAGAAGTTAGGACAAAAGTTATTTTCTTTATCCTATATTCAATATGAATTTCTACGGAATAAATAGGTCATCAATCGAACAAGCTTTTTCGTTGCCTATGATATATGAGTGTCTTGGGACCTAAAAAAGAGTCAATCTATTTCTGTCCGCCAGTTTTCTCAGTTCTTCACAACATTTTTAGACCATGGAATAATTCTAGTTTTCGAATTTCTGCCAATGAAACTACCGAGGGATTCAGTATGTTCAACAATTAACACTCTTTGTTGACATAAATCACTGGAATCGGGAGTCTCAAGTGTTTGGTCAACTTCAAAGAATACTTTGAGTTGAGTACTAGTTTTAGATTCGCGGAGCAGTTTTTTGCATCATTCATCATTTCATTGACGACAAGATCTGGAAAGGAACTGACCCCAATGGAATTTTGGTACTCACAAAGTTAATTTCGATTTTATTCTGATCAGCAAGTGTAGACAAATCGTTAATGAATGTTGTTAATACGAAAATACCTAGAACTCTACTCTGAGGAACACCAAGAATCACACCTACGCTCTTTGACTGTATGTAATTTACGGTACTATTGTAGCGAAACATGCCGTGATATATTTCTCAAATAAAGTTTGTGAAGATCAAATCGTAAGTTGTAGTTTATGGAAATAGAAAAATTAAATTATTGATGCATGATCCTGGAAAGTCGTTTCGAAATATCCAATTTTTAATAATCCAGTGACTTGATTTATCTCGACAGCTTTGTGAAGATCAAATCGTAAATTGTAGTTTATGAAAATAGAAAAATTATTGATGTATGATCCTGGAAAGTTGTTTCAGAATATCCAATGTCTAATAATCCAGTGACTTCATTTATCTCGACAGCTTTGATCTGCTCGAAAAAAAGTGAATATATGTTTCTTCCCCGAATGTTGTGATTAGAAATATACTAAAATTCATCATTTTGTTTGATCTATAAATATTCACATATATTCTCTATTCCGGTTCATTACTTATCCATATTTGTTTAACAGATAATCTTTCATTTCCATGAAGAAGTCGTATATTGGTTCGTTCCATAAAATAAATGTTTTTTTTTAGTATAAACCATCTTGACATTGCTCCCCAGTATGCTAGTATTCTCATGGGTTTCGGCAATACTTTTGCCACGATACCTGGAATTGTCAGTCCTATACTAACGGGTTACATTGTAACGGATGAGGTGAGTTTCTAGAAAGGCTATAAAGGTACATTTGGAAATTTAGAAAACAAAAATACCATTCAGAAATTACATTTGAGAAAATACTCAAAGAAATTTATAAAATTCTAAACACTTTCATTCATACTGAAAATATTAATAGTAGAATTGGAGAATCTAACATAAAATGAATTACACTGAAAAACTGCCACACACCAGCACTGTAATAATCAATCAGGAGATGATCTATAATATTATAGAGTGTGGAAAAAGTGTTACAGTTCGGGTGTCTGGAAAACGTCTTTTTATCAAACCAATGATATTGGATATTTTTACATAAACTCAAGAGTAATTTTCAAAAGTAAATTTCTGGTGTAAGTAAGACGGCACTTTACTATTAATTATTTTATGAAACAAAGTTGCAGCAGTCAGCATCCTTCAGTTTATATGATATTCTTTTTCTTCTTCCAATTTCAAAAATTAACCGTAAGCAAGAATTCTAAACTTTTTGTATTTTTTTCTTGAATTGGTTGGTTAAAGATGGACCATATAATTTCAAGAGAACATTATGCACGCCTAATGAATTGATTAACGTGACTTTCTAATTTCAAGTTCATATCTTAAATAACTCCCAGGCATTTGGATTCTGGGACGACCTCAAGTGCATGATCATTTAATACTATTTTCACAGATTTGCGATTATCATTTCTAGAGCTTTTCGATCCGAATACAATTTTATTGGATTTACAATTTATATTCAAGCAGTGATCAGAAGCATTTTTCACCAATAATTTCAAGTCACTATTTGAGTACATGAATTATCTATCATTTTAGGAGGAAAACTATAATACAACTGAGTGTCATCTGCATACAAATGTGTATCACAAAATTCCAAACATTTAGTAAGTTGAGATGTGTAGATGGCAAACAAAAGGGGTTTCAAAATCGAACCCTGTGACACCTCACATATAAGCATTGAATATTATGAGGTGTTTCCTTCTATGGTAACCTTTTGTTGACGGTCAGTGAGATACGATCTAATTAGCATTTTTAGAGAGTCCTATTCAGTATTTAGCTAAGATTTGATAACATTAAAGTTAATAGTATCGAACGTAGCACCTTCTAAATGCTGACTTCACTTCTTGTCACTTCAAATAATTCTATACAAAATTCCAACGGCGTTAAATCGGGCGATCAGAGACAACACAGTCTCAACTCATCATTTCACTTTTGAACATTTGACTGATGCAATAACTGATACCATAAATTTTGTCTTACAAGGTTACAATAGACGTTTCTAATAATAAATATTAATATAAAACATCAATCAATAAAGAAATAAACTGATTATCTCTTTTTGTTCAAATTATGTGCTTCATTTGTGAAAAGCAGCGAAAAATCAATTAAGTGTTAGTGATATTTATTGTATGGTTATAAAATTAAAGAAAAACCTTTCAAATGACGTTTTCAAATCTTGCTCAAAGAATATTATTTCTAATTTTTTCCAAAATAAATATCGAAATAATTAAAATAGTGTGTATGAAAAAATTTCACGTGGAGTAATTGTATAGATGAAATATATTTAACGGAAGCATATGAAAATACTTTCCTATGAAGTAGTCTAAATTCCATTTCTAACTCAATTTTTTTTACAGACAAGTATTTCAGAGTGGCGAGTAGTGTTTTTCATATCGTCCGGAATATATCTGTTTGGAGCAGTTTTTTATGGAACTTTCGTTTCTGGTGAATTACAACCCTGGGCTGTCGAAACTCAGTCACTAAAAACGGATTTAGAGAGATACGAAGACAAAAATCGAACCAGCAGGCAAACCCATTATGAGAACAAAAGTTTCAAACCAGATTCAGATTATAGCTAAGAAGATCAAGATTACTGCTTGAAGTGTGAATCAGAGTAATTTCTTCTCCTGATAACGAATATAGATACTTATATTAAGTGACAATAATCATTACAACTGTAAGTTCTGATTTTTCTCAAAATGTATATCTAGGACTACTGAAAAAAAATAATACATAATGAACTGCATTTTCATTACACAATAGTTATATCAGGAGAATGTGGGGTTACTTTCTCTCAAATAAATTTGTTTCGCAGGTACAGTTTATAGTCTATACGAAGTCAATCTAAACAGTTAAATAAAAGACTAATTTACAGGGTTTGATGAATTTACTAGTTAATACCATATAAAACCTCACACATAAAGATAATGTTAGACAAAAATTATACCACGCCGCCTATGCCATACAAAGAAACTGCCGACGTTCGGTAACCATTCAGTTTTTATGCCATTCGAATTGACTTCGTCGAAGGCCTTGGCCGTTTTCCTGGACCTGGCTAAGGCCTTCGATACAGTTGACCATGAACTATTAATGAAAAAATTGAATAACTATGGTATTCGAGGCAATGCTTTGGCTTTGATGAAGAACTACCTATCAAATCGAATCCAACGAGTGAAAATTGGAAATGAAATAAGTAGCAAGTTGGTATACCACAAGGAACCGTTTTGGGACCGATATTTTTTCTTATTTACATTAACAGTATAACAAAAATCAACAATTTCATAGGCGATATAATATGCTATGCCGATGATACGGCTTTAATTTACACGGGAACATCTTGGGATGAAGTGAGAGAGACTAGTAGTACTAAACTGTCACTGAATGTAAACAAGACAAAGTATCTGACCTTTTCCCCCACCCTTCGTGATCAACCCAAAAACTACAAAATAAAAATGCATATACCGCACTGAAATAATCAAAATACTTGCGACTGTCAGACCATAGAACAAGCCATATCTGTAAAATACCTCGGAGTTATTTTAGATCAACGTCTTACCTGAAAATTTGAAACATATGAGATCCTTCAAACTATTCAAAAAAGAGGCGAAAAAGTATATACATACTCACCCAGAAAAATTTCCAACTTCCTACTGGAATAAATACTTACTTATGTTTTTTATATATTGTGTATATAAGCACTACACATACACTACCGAATTTTAACAATAGTACCACAATAAGCGGTTATACCCCAATCGAAATAATTCAAATCATTCAACCTCATTTGAACCCCAATTTTAAATTCTCTCTTTTATCGTCTTTCTATAAAAATGTAAGAAAGCTTCACTCACCATATTAATAAAATTTTACATAAGACATACAATTGTACAAATGCCACACTGATTTATACATCACAAAACAGGTTATATTTTCCTAGCGTGAGTCTACTTCAGTGAGTCATTTAAAAAAAAAGCAGGGATAAGTGAAATTATTTCAACGACCTATAAATAGTCATCTCTCGGAGGAATCAGTCCAGTCATCACCCGAAGACGATTGTAGATACCCCAGTCATCACCCGAAGACGATTGTAGATACTAACAATCGAAACGTCGTGAACTAACGTGACTTGGAATCTCTACACTTTTTATTATTTTCTTTTTCATTCCTTCATTTTCATTTATTCAATTGTGATATTTTTACTTGTAGTTTATTTCACTATTATTTCATTTCAGGTTTATTTTGCTTAATATAATTGCTAATTTTAGCTATTCATTTTTAATTTTTCTTTTTTTTTAGTTGTTTCAGGGTTTTCAAATCATTTTATATAGTAGACAATGGAAGTCCGAACCAGTGACATGTTGCGTTTTTGTAAAACTGTTTAGTGAAAATCTCACAATAAAGTGTTTTTCAAATACGTTTTTTTGTTTTGTGTTGACTTTCGGCAGATAGGTTATAAACTTGGGTTATAAACTTTGCTCCACTCAGGTATTGATATGAGATCGTGTGCTAGTGAATCGTAAGAGATCGACGTTTATTGCTTCAAATACTCCTACAAATGGATATCACCATAGAAAAGGCGTCGAATGGGTCACGATGTTCCAGAATTTTTCACTGCCTCCAGGACTGTTCTGTAATGTTTCATAATCCTGGGATATTTTCGAACGTTTCAGACGACTTCTGCCCTTAAATCTTCAAAAGCACGTCTTTTAAGTGAAAATGGAAACCTTTTTGGACAAGCTGATGTGACACAATGACAGAAAACATTCATTTCTCTAAAAGCACTACCACTACTGTAAGTACAAGTAGTGGTAGTGGTAGTGGTGAATGTCTGCCGAAAACAACTTCAAAATTACTTTCATTTGTGAGTATTGATACCTGGGATACTTCTTCCCATTTTTGGCGCTTTGTTCACGAGATGGAGCTGTTAATATATTTCTCAGACTGAGATTTCATGCATACATTCAGGTCGCTTTGAGGTCTGTCGATTCCCTAGTAGGTATACTCCTATTTGGGCCTTATCTTTCCTGCACTGCACTTTGAAATCGATCTGTAGATTTGATTATAGCGTGGTTGAATGACGTTTTTCGATCGTTCTAGATCGAAAAGCTTCGGAAAGATTCCTACCGGCTTCCAGAGACTTTCATTACGGTATAAAAACAGTACCAACAGATAGATGGGGAAGTCTAGTTGAAAGTGCTGTACGAAGTGATCTAATAAGGTGCTAGGCATTAGTCTGAAAATTCAGTTGAAGTGTTTGTGTTGTACTGTCAGAGTAGCGGTGAAATAAATTTTAGTTTAATTGTTCAAAGCAGTCAGTTATTGTTGAACCTACCTGGAAAACGTAACACTATGTATCTTTTCCCGATACAGCGTATCTCAATAAACTCCTTATTTATATTTTACAAAAAAAAAATCAGTCTCTCTCATTTACATAAATATAGCTTGATCACCTTGTAAGTGGTAATCAGTTGAATGAGTGAATGGAAATGAAATTGTTTATCAGACAAGTTTTGAACAATATATTCATGGTATGTTTCAGTAAACAAAACACTGATGTGGGTGACTGAGTGAAGTCGTTTGCTCAAAATATTTAGGCACTTGTTGACTCGGGAGAAAGTTCAGAACACCATTTTATTTTATGGATTATCCAGAAGATAGAAATATTCCACAGGAACATAAAAGGTGATTGTTATTAGAAATAGATTGGGGCATTTTGTTAAAGGAAATTACTGTCTTATGACTGGAGCGTGATTTTTTATATTTTGCCTTCTAGAAATAGAAACCGAATCACTAGTGAACTTGAAATGAACTAGCTTATTTGGGTTATTTTGTAGATAGCATATCTTACGAATAGATAACTAGCAACTTCCTAGAATCTGAATAAGAATTGGTTTACCTTTCAGTTTACATAACCAAACGTTGACAATTTGTGAACAACGTGAAGTACCGTGAATTTACATGTTTTCAAATGTTTTGGGTCCAGAGAAATCATATATTAGTGGTACATGTGATATCATGCAAATCATTACAGATATTGAAAAACCAGGTACCTAATAAATGATCAGGTATATAACTTTCCACTGCAGTTCCATTTTCCCACAACTATACGTGATATTGTGACATCATCAGTGACATTTTCTTTTGTATGGACCCAATTCCACCCAAAATCGATTATTGAATTGCTAATTTCAATAACTTAATTTGCATATATTATCACTTGAAAATTATAATGAAATGAAAGAGGAAGCTGAAGTAATAGTTTTTCTTATATAATGATAAAAAAATAACGATACAAGATTTGATTTTATTCGAATTTTTATTTGTGGACAATATCAAAAGAAATTACAATAATGAAAGTTTGACATTTCTGTTAAAATCTGTTTTTCCGTTAACCAGCTGTCGCACTTCTATACGAACGAGCTAGGCGCTAATGAGGTCCTACCTTTTAACGTGTGATTTCTAACACGTGTTGGACGATAGGAAGAGAAAATCGACCGTTCGGCCTTGCGGTTAGAACCACCGGTTCACACAGCTGTCGACTGAGTGTGTCGAGCAAACCACTTACGTCAACCCATTGAGATCATTTTTTAATTAATTATATCAATTTGTACTCGTAAGGACCGCCGTAAGGACCCGAAAAATGATGCATCTCTATAGGAGTTTGCATCCCAAATCATCCGTTTCACGGTTGTACTTTCCCCGACAACAGGGAGGCCGTGGACTTTTGAGTTTGGAGTATCTACATGACAGAATGGTACTGGATACAGCCTGTAAAGTAGTCAGGAGTTCGGATCCCTTTCTCTGCATGGTCCGTGACCATGATAGAGCAGGAATTGAAGCATTTCTCTTTAGGGCAGCTGCCCGAGCAACTGATGAACTCTGTATAGTTTTCGACACTGAACGAGGTGACCACAACTCTGTCACCGAGTTGGAACCCGTTCAGCAAAAAGCTCATATAAAAGCCGCAGAGATAACCTCACTACTGTGGAAACACAAGGATAATTCAATGCATGAAGTCTTCTTCAAAAACATTGGAGACCTTGGCTTATCAAAGCGCCTGACTTTTGCATTCCTCAGGTCGATTGGGCTGAAGTCGGAAACTGAGGGGTTCATTATGGCTTGCCAGGACGGTGTCTTCAACACCTTAGTCTACCGCAGTCGCGTGATGGGTATAGAGACTCCTGACACAAGGTGCAGGGCCTGCCGCGAGGCGCCCGAGACCCTAATATTTCATAATTATAAAATATGTCGACAATGGAAACGCTTATGTTGAAATAATCAACATTTTTTTCAACTTTTGTACATAGATAGTAATGAAATATATTGAAAGGTAAATTAAAAAACATTTGAAAAGCAAGTTGGTTTTTAAAGAATAACCAGAAATCCATGATTATGTGACGATCCGCAAATTTAAAATCATTAATTCAAACTTTATAACTTTCAATAGAATTTTATCGCTCACTTTTATCGTTTTTATTCAATTCTAGTAAACACAAAGTATCATGTATGTTCTGGAAAAGCAGGAGGTACGTCGTATCAGCGCTGGCTTTTTTTGGATTTTTCACTGCCTGGGCCCTTCGTATCAATTTAAGCATTGCTCTAGTAGCAATGACGGAATTGAAGAACAAGACACTGCAAAATGGTTCAATAGTATCGGTGAGTTTCTATAAAAAAATAATGCAATACGTTTCTCTAGAAATCCTAATACGGATATACGGAAATTTTTATGGAAATTTAAAAA